ATAAACAATCTTAATATACTGGGTAGTAATGCCGTGATCGTCTGGAACGTTCAAGACGAATTTTGTCTTAGCTGAGACGAAGACCTTTTCAAATCGAAAACTGAGACAAAGCGGTTCTTAATCCTCTGGAAATACTTGAATCAGTTCGAACGAAAAACAGGGCAAAGCGTCCCACTAGGGACGCATAGGATACAAAAGCATAATGGGGACAATTTTAATATAAAAGTAAATATCCTCGCACAGGTTGCTAAAACACAAACGCGCAAGATTCTTGAGGCTTTTCGGATAAATACCAGGAAACCTAGAATGAGTAGCAGGGAAGGATGTCCAGAGATCACACATGAGGTAGTCCCGTATCTTCGAATCGACTTTTGATGTGGGCTGGTGCACTCATGAACCGTATAAGTCTCTACGTGACATACTTAGTGGAAACCTCATAGAAAGCGGCTCTGAAGAAGGCGAAATTCGCCGAAACGTCAGCTTAATCGTGAACAAAGAATAGTAACACCTCGCGTTTGCTCAACAAAAATACGAAGAAAATCACTTGATCAATGCCGAGGTTAATAGAAAGTCGGTCGTGGCAATTTCATCTTTCTGTTTGTATTACTGAGGCGTTTGGCATAGTGAATTGCGTACCAATACACCCTTCCACACTCCGAAGAAGGCGATTCCGCCGAAACATCAGCTTTACTGGAATAAAGAATGAAGTAACACCTTGTGTTTGCCAGCAAGAATATAGGGAATTACTTTTATGAATTTTTTTATCGTATGGATACGCTATCTTGCTGTGCCGTTCTTAAAATAGCTCGCATGGCTGTGCTTCATCCAATATTCTAGCGATCATTTTAAGGGTGACTCAGCTAAGGTGAAATCATATAGACGCTAAATACCAGTGATATTCGGCGACAATTGCTGATTTTGATTACAGACCTTTTTCCTTAATTTGGAACCTTAACATTTGGCGTAGAGCGTGTATAGAGGTGTGCCTATGTTTTGGTTGGAAATGGCGGTAGAATTTTCAGATTTTGCGGTTTATTACTGTTTGGAGTACATGGTGTGCAGCTCTTCACTATTGAGATAACAGATAAGAGTGGCAAAGGGAGAACTGTAGAGGCATCATATTCATTGCCGACCTTGGGGGCTTGATATGACATCAAAGAGATCAGAGTACGATCGATTCATCAATGATCTTCTTCGTTGCCCTTTTGTTTACAGCTACTGTTTTGTCTGGACTCCAAAGACAACAGTCTTAGTTTTATAGTTGGGAAAGTCTTAGTGGAACTTGAGGATGTTCTCCCACCCATCCCAATCTCTTTCGCCTCAGCCTCTACTGCTGCTTTTCCCTATGGAAGATCTTTTGTTATTTCTCTGCAGAGACTTCTAAGTTCGGGCATGAGTTCGTTCTTGTGCTATATTACGTCTGGACCTCGTAAACTCCTGTCTTTTCTGCGAAAAAAATCTAAGACGAAGAAGAAGATAACACCGTTCCAAACAAAAATGAGTAATTACACTTCATCAATCAAGCAAAGACTTTAATTTAATGTTGGTCTTCTTGTGGAAGATCGTTTCTACCAGGAGACATTCAGCTTCAACGTTCAGGGAAAGTTTTCGAGAATTTTGTTTTGTCTTGAACTAGTTTACTCATCTTGAGAAACCAAGGCAACTTCCCAGCGTATTTTTTCTTTTTTGGACCGGAGTGAAGTTCTTGTGAGTACTGTTAGATCCATTCTTGGGATTTAATCGTGCTACCCATCGCTATAGCTTCTAAAACTCTATCTGGTCAAGAAGATGAGCCCTTTATTTTTTACTAGTATTGGCGATCAATACTCACGGGCGTTTGGATTTTCTCGAAACTGACGAGAAGCCTATTGTTTTTATTTTATTGCGATCTTTTATCCAATCCGACGTACACGATGCCACCTGAATATGTACCTACTTCCATCCCGCATAATTCCGTTACTTCGTCTATCTACATGCGAAAGGGAATTGCTAATCCAGGGCGGAGCGAACATGTCCTGAATCTTTCTGCTTCGTAAGTGAAGTAGGTCACTTTCTCTTCTCACCGCTTTTATCGACCTATGCGCTACCTGAGCTCGTACTGAATAGTGTTGCGAATAATGGCTCGGGATTGCGAGCCGGACTCATGAAAAGAAAAACAGAACAAGTTAAATTTGTGAGGAAAAGTAAAGTCTGCCGTACACGCACTATACAGTTTCCCAACGGCTTTACGTTCTAGCTCTTCTATTCGGTCAAGCTGAAAATTTCTCGTGGCTCTGCTGAAATCCTGAAGCAGTACGAGAGAGAGCCTGTCATCACATGTAGTGTGGATTTCAGCAGCTCTTTTATTCGCTAAGTCTTCTTGCAAAATTTTGTATAGAAATTGTTGCTAAGATGCGTACAGTGCAGACAACACTTGATATTCCACATCTGGCTCATGTGGAAATGATTTGTTCTTTCATCACGAACTTAGATCGAGGAATTGGGGGAGATCGCTCTTCCATCTATGTGATTCTGGAATTCTAGCATCGCTCTATCGATTGGCTATTTAGAAATGCTGTAGGTTGTAGTCTTTCGATTCATAGGTGAACTCTAAAGACTTGTTGATACAAAATCGCATATCAGTGGCTACTTCAAACTAACACTTTCTCACTAGATGCCCAGACCAAACAAACCCGAGATTAGGCGTCGTCGCTAGAGTGTTAACAATCATTTCAAAGAGTGAAACCTCAGTTACGGTATTGATTACACATTTGCGCATTTTCATCGTGGTGTAAAGATTTAAAAGTACATCTTGGACTAATAAGCTAACACGAGGTTGATAAGGTTTATTCAGCTAACGTTCTGACGACTTCATTGCCTTGAATGTAAACGCGAATTCGCTTTGAATGTTTACACTCGCGAATTGTAGTGAAGTAGATTTTTATGGTCGCATCGAGTCAAATCCGGCAGGATAGCGTACCGGTGCGAACGAAACGGCCTCAGCCATTTATAGCGTCAGCTCTATAAAGAGGACGACCTTTGTCGTTGGAGTGATGTTACATCATTTATCAAACATTTCTTTAATGATATTCCACCATTTTTCAATTGAATAGCGGATCTCCACACTTCGTAGCGTGCTTCTAGCTGGTCGCGCCATTGCCAGCTAGGGTGTCCAGCCGTGTTTGTATGGTTTCCAATTTTCAAGAGAAACAATAAGTTTGCAAAAAAAGCAGTGTCCTAGGTTTAATTCACCCTGGACAGTTCTCATTGGATTGTCCATCCAGAATTAATTATTTTCATGATAACAATACATTTCGTAGCAGTCGAAATAAGACTGATTGGCATATAATCAATCATTGTGAGATGTAATGAAATGAAGTATAACTAAAAATATAACTACTATAATGCTGAGATATTTGCAAAGCTCCGGACCGCAGGTGTCTATGGTGGGGAACGAACGCGTTAGTGTCCTTTCCGGGGATTAACGCGTCCACCACCACACCATGCGGGTCCTTCGTTGCGCCAGATTGCTGATGGCAAATGATCGATAGAACTAGCTGAGAGACAAGCGAAACGAAGGACCCGCATGGTGTGGTGGTGAACGCGTTACTCCTCGGAAAGGACAATAGCGTGTTCGTTACCTACCGCCGACACCTGCGGTCCGGAGTTTTGCAAATATTCCAGCATTATAGTAGTTATATTTCGCAAAATACCCTGCCGTTAAAAAGGATAGGCAGTAAATAAAAAGGTTAAGATAACTGAAAATATTTACTCACTATGATGATTAAGGACAAGGGTATTTAGTTATAGATCTTCGTTTTCAGTACCACTGAAGATGATTTTGGTTTTCCAGTGGTGGCAATGTGTTCTATCGTGTCTGGTAGTTCACACGCTGTCTGGTAGTAGCCCCACCCCGAATTTGTTTCGCTCAGTTTCTTTTCCGCTCGCTATCAACTACTCACCTTATTAATTTACGATGCGAGTACTTTCACGGAAGCAAAAACTTATGGCAGATGATCAGCGGCCTCAGAAAAAAGGCTTTTTATATGTTTGGTGAGATTTTTCTGGTTTTTCAACCATTCATTCATTTAACTATTCTTTTTCCAAGTGATGAATTTTCCACCACTTTTATACTTTGAGGTGAAATTGAGTTTTGCAAGGTAACAAAGTTCCTATCAGTATCTTCACTGTGATGAATAGGCTTCCATTCTTTTATACACCTCATTTATCTTGGCTCTTCCGTTTCCTTCACTCAAACATGTGGATCATTTGTTAGCTTTCTTTGGGATGTCCATTCCAGTGGATCGAATGGTGAATTGAAAAAGAGTTTGTTAACACAAATACTGAACATGCTTCGATATATTCCAATTGAGCAAGAAAAGACTGTTTAACATGTATGAACACGAATTTCAAAAAAACTACCGATGCGGACGCGAAAGATATTCCCTCTATAATATGGCACTTCCCTAATCATTGAGTGATTCGAAAGCACACTAGAAATGATCTCATTCGTCTGTGTAGCACCTTAAAGCTGCACGATGTTCTCCACCATCTTTAGGAACATTGAAAACTACATACTTGCTTCACCAATTTTTCATTTGCATTATATTTGTTTAGTGAGAGGTTAGCTATGAATAACGCATCGCAATCTGCCATCGTGTAGCTTTACTTTTAGCTAGACCAGGTGGCTTCCTCATCAATTTTGCCAAAGAGATATGATGTTGGACTGCTCAAAGATAATATTGAATGAACATCCACAATGGATAGAACTTGTAATAATAGAAGCAGTAGGATACGTAATAAAATTTGGGACTGGAAAGCCAGGTGTTTATTCTTTTGCAGCTGCTTTGTACAGAAGACAGTATAAAGAGAATTGAGGATGCGGTCAAAATATTTTGCTGTTAACTTTGTTTGTCACCGAGGTTTTTGTAAGAAAACGAGGATAGAAAAGTTTCTGCCGAGTTCTATTCGACAGTATTCACATCACTGACTTTTGTAGCGCTCTTATTAACGTCGAACCAGTGATGATAATGTTGGCGGTGTCAGTCGGATTGTATCTCATCTCGATGCCACTGTTCACCTATTGGGCGAGATGTATTGAAATCGCCAACAGTACTCATGTGAGTATTTAGTCTGAAAGCAGAAGGAACTAAGGCTTATTATCATTTATTTCATTATCGCTTTATGTTACTTTTCTAGTGCACCAACAAGTATCCACGATAATTCTTGCTTAATGCGCAGATCCACCCCTTATTTTGCATTCCCGTGTTTCAGTTCGGTCAATGTATGCAAAATGAAATGTGTAAACCTGAATAACGGGTTATAATCTCATAGTCATGAAGCTGAAACGGTTTTCAGTGTTGATCAGTCGCTCGGATTTGCGCAGTTCATTCAACTTCATCATTGTAGAGGTAATTGAATACATATTTGGCCTACAACTTCCGGGGTCAGGTGTCAGCGTTTCTAATCCTTCCATATAAGTCTGTTGTTATTTTGCAGACTACAGAAGGATGAGAGGCTTGGTACTAATAGAGATATGAATCGAAGCAGTGGCAACATTTATATTGTGGAGCACCTCTAACCACTGCACCATGCACACTTCTTGCCGATTTCATTTCGTTTATATCACTAACAAGTTGTGTTTGGAATCTTCGAAACCAGTCCATTTTACAAAGGAGCTCATTGAAATTTTTCCCCAACACTTTGCTGAACTTAAAAAGACCACCGTGATTAATTCCATTTGTTAAAAAATACTATTCTTTTGCTGGAACGTATGGGGAAGATGCTTCTTATTGAACGATGGTACAATTCCGTTACTAAAATTTTTTGGATATTCTTGATCGTTTTTGAGAAAGTTGGTCCACAGCAAAGGCAGCTGCACTGGTTTTCCATTTTAACCCTTTTTTATTCTGAACGTATTCAGATCCATTTAATTTATGCTGAATTCGATAATATTTGGTAGAAATCTGTTAGGATCCCCCCAACGGTTCACCGCCTCATCGTGGCTGGGAGCTGTTCCTGGGTGTCGGACAGCGATGTACAGCGGGGGATTCGTTCCTCCGGCAGGGTCTCCCAAGCTGAAATGGAGTCCGGCGTTTCCATCACGAGGCCTAGCTAAGAGTAAACCAATACTAGAGTCCACCACCATCCTGGTATCAAAGTCGCATGTTGGTAAATCTCTCTCTGATCCACAAGGACTGCGTTTGCCTGTGGTAGTGAAGACCTGGGGCAGACTTTGGCCAGGCTGTCCTCGGGATTCCTGCGAACCACAATGGTTTAACCAGCAAATCCCCGAAAAATGGTGATTATGCTGGGGTCCGCGCAACTAGTGAGGATGGAACGTTCAAGTATTCGTTCGTTATTATTATTCCTATTATTCGTTATTTATCAAGTAATCCGTTAGGATAGAACGATCACCGAATTAGAGTATATAGTCGACTTCTTACGCACACTTAAAACAATCTTTTTTTAAATACTTTTACAATGCAGTAATACTATGAACTTTGAAGCTTATGATAGGTAAATTTTAACACTTAACATTTATGTAGCTTAGGTATACTTACTTCGATACTTGGATGGCTCGTCTTCACTGGTTGTGCGGGCTACAGCGTAATTTCCATTTCCTCTGAGTTTTGCTCGTTTGTCAATCAATTGTGGTGCCCTGGACTCCCAGGTCAGCCTTGCTTAAAGTCTGCCCCAGGTCATCATCACCACAAGCAGTTGCCACCCTTGTGGATCCGAGGGAGATTTGCCAACATGCAACTAATTTGGTACCAGGACTGTGGCGGATCCTGGTGTTGGTTTACTTTTAGCAGGGCTTGGCTTTCTGATAGAAACGCCGGAGTCCTTCTCAGCTTGGGAGGCTCTGTTGGTGGAATGAATCTCCCCGTTGTACATCGCTGCCCGACAACCAGGAACACCTCCCAGCCAAGATGAGGCGGTAAACCGTTGGGAGAGTTTGGGTATGTATATATATATATTCTTTTCATGCTATGATTGTTTCTATGTTGTACTTTTTTCAACCCCTCATTTTTGTTAGGAATACGTAGTTTACTTTTCCAAAGATGTTATGTTACTATAAAAAATTTGTCCTAAGAGAGAAGAAAGCTGGTTTTTGCGCTGTGGGTAGAGGTGCCTTGTAATAAACACGTTGTCGTTGATTAAGTGCCGCACCTTATCGAGTTTGCCATCTATCAGAATCCGATATTAGCAAATTGGTACCAGTGTTCTGTGGGAGTGTATAGTCCCTCGCAAATCATTCTCTAGGCCAAATATGCATTAACTCAGAGACATAGTGATGTTGAATACATAGTGCGCCATCAAGGGATTGATCAGAGCCAAACACTCTATTCTTTAAATCTTATATTATGACTATCGCTTCTTACGTGAGGTGGAGAACAACTTTTTTAAGTTACTTACCAGAAAGATTCATGATTTCCCAGGTTTTCGGGTTTTTTTTTAGTAAAATAGTCTTTTTAGGTGTAATTTTTAGGGCTTCGATTCTAAGAATGTAACAGCGGCCTGCGCACAAACACTTGGAAGTGATTTTCCGTTGCAGGACATTGTTGAGAAAGATATCGCTTCTACAAAAATCTACCTTCAGGTTAAAGATGTTTTTTTATCTGAGACTCTGATTTCTACATTGGCATTCAGGGCAGGCTAGAATTCCATATAACGGAATTTAAGAAGCATACTAGTTTCTCCTGTAGTTTTTGAATAAAATTGTTATGATTGACCAGTTCCTCTGCGTTGAATAGTATCGAGGACGTGTAATTGAACTATTGAGCGAACGCATTAAGAACTAGTTTCGCGATATTGTATTCTACCTGAAACGAGCCAGTTAGTGGTGATTGGTGACAACATAATCACTACTCCACTTGATCAAGTTCTATCATAAACAAAAGGGTCAAAGGCAACTTAGCGTGAAGTTGTCTTTGTGATTTCGGTAGTTTTCTTGGTCATGGTTCGGACCAAATACAGTAGTAAAACGTCTCAGAACGGCAAAAAGAAGGTAATCATTTGTTAGTGTAAGCACCATATGACCTTTGAAAAGTGACTTCACAAAGCTCCGATGTTCGGTGCTCAACTACGCATATGATGAGACATAATGTTAAATATTCAAAAATGAAGAAAAATATAACTCTTCCTCTATAATTTTCAGGTCGTGAACACTGTCCCTAGTCTCGTTACCGCTCCTCTGGTTGGTACGTGGTCTGATAAGCGAGGTTTGTACCTAATCGCTCCACCGATTCTGAACATTGGATTCCACTTGATATTAGTCTGGTTCCAGATCACTATCTTTTAGGACGAAAAAATCCTCTCCTTTTTTCAATATTTGGGTTTTGCGTCTATTCAACGATTCAGTTGCTTGCGACTCTAACTTATACTTATATTAATATTTACTATTTCTTTTTCGTCAGTGAGTTACTTCTCGGTGAGTGCAATGCTGAAGCGTTATTTTTTTTTTGAAATAATTGTTTTCAGTATTTTTTTATTACTGTTACCACTGTTAGCTAAAACTACCGCTTTGCCTACTTTCTTAATAATTATCCATTTAACTCGTATGAAGTGCTGAGATATCTGCAAAACTCCGGACCACAGGTGTATGCAGTGGAGAACGAACACGCGCTGTTGTCCTTACCGGGGAGCAGCGCACTTCACCACTACACCATCCTTCTCAGCACTTCATACGAGTTACATTTCACAACATACCCTGCCACTAAGAAGAAAAAGGCAGTAAATAAAAGAGTTAAGATTATCCATTTATTCAACTACAGTAATGCTGAGATATTTGCAAAACTCCGGACCGCTGGTGTCTGCGGTGGGGAACAAACGCGGTATTACCCTTTCCGGGAGTTAACGCATTCACTACCTCACCATGCGGGTCTTTCGTTTCGCCTGCCTCCCAGCTAGTTCTAGCTAAATATCCATTTATTCATATGTTGTATTTGGAGAGACGTGTATTGTATTTGAAGCATTGCGAGTTTTTCCTCTTCATGAATATCTTTTCAGGTCTTACAGGAGGTGTTGGTTCCTTATTCAGTACGACTTTGGCTATCGTGACCGACGATTGCAGAAATAAATTAAAGCCGGTGTGTTGGAATATCTCCATTTTCTATTAGCATCCAAAGGCTCAGTTACATGCTACAAAATTACTGGTCTTTCTGTTGAACTGCTTTATAGTTTAAAACTTTTGCGACAGAAGAGTTCTATTTTGACGAAGATACTGAACAGTAAAGTTCCAGGGTTCGTCAACCGTTCCCCTTCGAATCGGCATCGCTTCTTTTCTACAATCAGTCGGCGCTCTTCTAGGGACTCTGACCATGTCTTTCCTTGCTGTACCAGCCCTCTATCCTAGCTATGCGCATCAGCTCAGCTATGTGCAAGCGGCCTCACTGCGTATGTTTTCTCTTTTGAAGAACTAGTCTTACTAACATATCTATCGCGACGAGGGAAGTGCACTGGTTAGATATGCTTTGCAGCACACAGATGGTCCATTTGACAGACGCCCGTTTGACGTCATCTCAGACCAACGATGTTTCCTAACCCTCTGGTGTTAGCAAATTGATACCTTACTTGTCTGTGAAAGCTACTTGACGACTGGCTATAATGGAGACGTTGGGACGCTTTAATAGAGCAATCTCTGGTTTCTATGGTGGGAAGAGAAAGTGCTCACATGGCAGCCAAACCCACGAGTACCTCGAAAGGCCTTCGTGGATGAGAAGACAGCGAACCAATTTGCGACACCGACGAAAGGGTCGAAGACTTGTTGATCCCGGGAGCTTTCTTCGATAGATCTTTTAGAAATGGTTTGCTCGTTAATGGTGTTGTCGAGGTGCTGGATCGAACTAAGGGCCATGTGTGTGTTGCAGGGCACCTCTTACCACTGCGTTATGCGCTCCTCAAGTCGAGCTAAACAAAGTAGGTAAACAAGCATATTTTTCACTTACTTTTATACCATTGATTGTTGAACAAGCTTTTAGAAACGATATGTGCATTACTCGCATTCGGCTATGCCTTTTTTGTGGTGCGAGAAACTCATTTTCCACTCGACGAGAGTTATTTGTTCCACAGAATTGATGGTAAAACAGCAGCATATTCATTTTTTTAAATTGATTAAGTCTGCTCGCCGTTAAATACGACAGTGTGAGATGATCTTTAGGGATTTCTAATTACTTATACGCGGCAATCTTTTGTTATACGTCTACAAAATATTTGATTGTAGTAAAGTGTGAAAGACATAGATTTTCAAGGACCTTTTAGATAAGAATGATTAGCAGTGGTTTTCATTTTTCTCCGGAATATGGTAAATCAAAAACCCATGTATTTGGAAGTCCAAGGCTTTATGATTTACTATAAATTGCGGAGTTATATTTGAAATGTAAAGCTTATTTAAAGTAGAGAACTATTCTGATAATGGCAGGTGGTGACTCGCTTGACGTTCACGTCGGACAGCAAAATTCTTCCTCGCTGAAGATTTGTGGCAACTTGTTTGCTCTTTGTGAAGTTAGTTGACCTCGTTATTTTTACATAAACTTCATCCTTAAATTTCTTCATTCACTAATTAGGTTGCAACTTAACGTGGTAAGCATCAGTAGATCTAGAATTTGAACATCTTCATCTCGAATCGAGAAGTTGGCTCACTGAGGAAGACTTGACTTGACACGAAGGCGAAGCTGCCACGTCGAGACGAATAGCAAGCGAGGACCATCGACTCGGATCATCGGCTCTGCGGAAGACGAAGACGTCGAAACGTTAGCCGAAAATAAACATCATTATCAACCTCGTGTAAGCTCATCAAAGAAAGAATACATATTGATTAGTGATACCGAGGTTCAAGGAAAGTCGGTTTCGAAATATTACTACGCTTTGTGCTATCTGATGGAAGTGTCTTGTAGAGATATCGGTTGTCGTAAAGCAAGTCGCTTAAGTGTTTTGTAGTTTTAAACCCTTCTGTCGCTTTGATTTGAGTCATTGGGTACCTCCAAAACGGTTACTGTGATGAGTCGAGAGAATGAGAGTTTTTTAAAAAAAAATTATTGGCAAGTAATTCTATCACCAATTCATTGAACTTCCTGGTTTGTAGATAGGACTTAGTTGACATTAGTAGCTTGGCGGAAGAAAGTAAGCTATGTATGATCGATATCTCTGGCAGTTCCTCGGTGGGCATCTGGTATTTTTTAAGCTGTTCGTAAGTCAAATTAGACATGATTGACTCCGAAAGCCTCAGGAGTGTCGCAAATGTTCTCAAAAAGCTGCGTGTAATAATACGGTCGCTTGAAGAAAGAAATAACCATAGTTATATTCTCCTAATTGCTTATATTTTCTTGGGGTCTTAACTTTTAAGTTTCATAATGTCAGTTTTGAAATACACGGTAAGGAAAAACGGTGGTTTTGAAATGACTGGTTAATTGCTAGCGTCGTTATCAATCAATGCAGCAGTCCTCAGTTGTTTTTCACACACTGCATTAATTTCCGTACCGTGACGACCAAGTCTGTCGCTATTTTAGAATCATGATTTGCTCAATGAGCGTCCTCTTACTCTAAGATTGACCTATCATTCGTACCAAGAAGATGAGATGAAGTTCAACCAATTCAACAAGCAGAGTTCCGAAATGAAATTTAGACCGTTGCCATGATCATAGAATTCTGTCGAGAATATCAAATACCCCTTATTTTAACCTTGTCGACTATGAAGAATAATTTGACGGTACTCGAGTGCTTTCGCAAGTGGATCACAGCTGTTCTGTTTTCATCTGTCCTTAATCACTTTATCGTTTCCATACCAGGAATACCTAAAAGGGCGATATCACTGAGCTGTTCACCATCGCATTGCAATGATCTGTGAAATCTCTCGATTGGGACAAAAAAAGGCACTTGAAATTGTGGTAAATTCCTATCATACGTTCTTTTTCCGACAACGTAGTCGTTTTTTCGAGGAAATACCTATGAAGTAGAGATGATACTTGGGGAGAAAAGGGAGGACTGTGTGTATATTAGAAAAAAACCGTTTCATTAATAAAATCCAAAGTACGATTGGAAACAAATCCGAATGGACGGCTCGTTGGTTATGGAAATAATCGATTATGAGATTGTATATGTGCCACATTCAAGCGTTACACAGAAGTCAGTGGTAGCGCCACCAAAGCTCCACACTCACTTTTCTGAAACAGTGCTTATCTTGCGCACTGCAATATATCAAAAAGGACCCAAAAGCGCTTTAACAGTGGCTTATGGTAAACAACCAGCTCAGGCAACATCTAACTGGTTTATGCAGTTCAGATCTTCGGGAATTATCCCATACTGGAAACCTAGAGATGTGTAGTTCGGAGGCGAAACATAGTTGGGCCGCCATGAATAAGAGAAATTGATGACAGGTGGAGGCGAATAGTAGACACCAAATGGATGCAGTTATATGATCGCCAAGATCCTAAAGGAACGTGTACCTTGCTTACACCAGCTAGTTATATTCAAACCTGGAAATGATTTGCAGGTATAGAACTGTGTTCGCAAATCACCATAGTGGAAACAGACCACTACCGTTGATAAGGGTCACGAGAGAAAGAAATGAAGGACGCAAATATGAGCAAAAAATATGAAAGCTCATATGAAAACTTCTCGGTATCGATTGGGCCGAAGCTTAAAGTTGTTATAAGTTACTCCGTTCTCTCCTAACCAAAGGAATTTGACGGAATCGACGTGCAGGGTGTAGTCTGCATACACATGAGCAAAATTATGCACATGTGCGCAAACATGTTCATAATTAGGTACAAGAAGAAATTAGAACTCAGTCTACAGCATCAGAGAAAGCGACTCCATATGCCATCCTGTTTACGTTTCAAGGGCATGAACTGCTTATGAACGAAGTAATGGTGGTTTTCGAAACCAAGCATGGAAATCCGTAGCGTGTCCCTTATCATCAAGGGATTTGTATCCATTCTGAAACTTCTGGAATCATCTCACCACTACGCATTAAACTGCTGTAATGCCTCGCAAACTGTGTTCACAATTCGAGCTGTTTCCGTTGATGTTGTAAATTCATGTTTAGAATTGTGAATCAGAACCATCTGTGAACCATAACCGTCGACAGATAGGCGAAGCGTCTTAAGTGTTCAATAAATAGGTAATGATCTATCCAATGAAAGAAATATGCGTGACTTTACCACTTGAGCGGGGTAAAAATGTGTTCAGAGATATACTTACTTAAATACTTGAACGGCCCGTCCGCACTAGTTGTGCGAGCCTCAGCATAATTACCACTTTTTGGTGATTTGCTGGGTAAGCCACCGTGGTTCTCTGGAATTCCGAGGACAGCCTGGCCAAAGTCTGCCCCAGTTCAGAAATATAGTGCAGTGCAAGCATATTGACCTTTGACCCAGTCTGGACCAACCAACTCTTGCATCATTCCGTAGTTAGGAAATTGTTACCAAGCAAGAGCTACTTCTGATCTTCAAAATTTGCCGATTTCTCAGGAGCGGCTATCCTTTAACCTGGACATTGATCAATAATTCACTGTTTTTGATGATCTTGTTTGATCTTGTGTCACTTTTAAAGCGTGTGGGGTGAATAAATTAGCGAAACGGGTAGACGATTGTACGTCCACATAGGCCAACACCTAGTCGGCAATTTTAAAGTTAGACCAAATACTTCACTAGGCGCGCATAGGAAACAGAGGCATCGCAAACAGGATTTTGAAGTGAAAGTCGCTATCCTCATACAAGAATCCGAAATATCAGCGCGTAGAACTCTTGAAGATTTCTGGATTAATTCCACAAATCCAAAAGTGGATCGAAGGAAGTAATTCCTCGTTATCGTGCTTGACCTGGCGGCACACCTGAGGCTGATTTTCGGATCTGAGGCAGATGTATTCCTCATCCATGTAGCGCTATGTAGCTGGTCTCCATCGGATAACTGGTAGGTTTGCAAAGAGCAAAACGATAAGTGATGTTTATTATGCGAATGAAAATTCACGCGTTAAGTTTTATCTGCTAAGGTTATAAAAAAATTTGTCTGAGTACAATGAGGGTCAGTTTGACCCTTTTAGGCTCTGAAGAACATGAAATCGACAAAACGTCAGCTGTTGTGAATGAATAAATACTGTAATAACAACGTCTTGTTTGCACATCAAGAAAACAGTGAATTGTTGGTAATTTCATATGATAGAGTCGTGAACTTTGTAGCTTTGAGCCATCAAAGAATTTCGAAAAGTTGCGTGCAACCTTATTGGTTTCCGGATGGCCAGGCGCGTTCGCTGTTGGACCATAACTAACCTCATTCCTATGAGACGTGCCACCTAACCTTGCGAACGACCGAGTTTTTTCATATGTGGTGATCATTGACGACTTTTCCACAGCAATACTGTTAAGGATTTGTCTACTGGTGGTACAGAATAGTAGATAATTCAGGTTCTAACACTACGGCGACCAGGATGGACCAGATGCTGCCTCGTCGCGTCATTGGTTTTCGTTATGGTAGAATTTCTAGCTTTAGGTATGCGATTTTTCAAATCTTGTTTCATAGGTTGCTTGCCAAAGTTATCTAGAAAAGTCATAGTATTCGTTTATTTATAAAAATTCAAAAACATCATTTCGGTTTCGAATGACTTTCGTGAAGTACAACAGTTGTCAGAAATTTACGGATAACTTTTCTGGATTTGTTAACAACTTTTCAAGCAACGGATATAAGTGGAAAGGTTATACTTTGTTATCATTGTAGACAGCAGTAATCGAAGTCGATGTAGAAAGTGAACAGGCTCAAACATGGTTTCTACTTTAACTTTATAGAACCCATCCAAGTCATTCCAAAACAACTTCCGATGATCTTTATCACATTCCTTGCTTTCTTTTTGCTTAATCGTTGATGCATGTTCTATTGCATATAAAACTCTTTCCAGATACTTCCTTATTGTTTTTGCTCGTCAAACGACATCCTTTTTCCTGGAGCGACAAGTTGTTCACCTATTATTCCTTGGCCAAAGGAATTCTCTATTCATTAGGAATGGTCCTATGTATGTTTCGTCGACGCGGTTCTAATGTTCAGCGGTCTTTTAAGGAACAATCTGTTTCCACTCTAGGCCCTCTGCTATTGACGTTAGTGCATTGGTTGGGAAAAGACAGTCTGATGATTCTGATCGGAATAACAGCGTCGGCCATCACATTTATTCTTGTATCGTATGCCGAATCCACAGCAGCAATCTTCTTAAGTAAGTTTTTTGGAAGGTTATGGTTTTTGCTGCTGGTTCAGGTGCCACATGTATCTCATCTAACTCCGTCTGTTATTGAGTAATTTACGTGGTCAGCACCAAAGTCTCAGTTAACCTCTGTTGCGCATCGGTCTTGCCCAGTAGGCTAAAATCGTTTGACAAAACACATGGCGGCAAGTTTTTTTTCCGTGAGCTCGCTCATTTTTATTGTTTTTTGGATATTTTTGTTCGGCTAGCACTTGGCGTCGCACCATGTAGCCGTGAAATTGATCACCTCGGAATCCTTAAAGAGATTCATAGACTGACTTAAGTTAACTGTAAAATATAGAGGTAGTATGTATTATTATATCAATATAGTACCTATACAATACCTCTGTACATTATTGCCTACATTGGCCATAATATTTCCAGCCGCCGGCCTCACAGTACTCTGTGGAGGCATCGCTCCTGGGTATCGCTCATTTCTTCCTCGAATGGTTCCTAAAGAACAAACCGCAAGGCTGCTTACAAGTAGGCTGTCTGCAAAACATTCCTAAGTCATTTTCCTTAATTAGAAAAAATTTCAAGAGTAATTGAGCTGGACACTGCAGGTCAAAATACAGTTCCACTTTACTGTGGAAACATTTTTATAAGGAGTTTAGATATTTATTTATTTTTCTAGAAACTAACGGAAATTTTTTCGCACTGTTGTGATGCCGATCTCTTGTTTGATTCGTAGTCTCAAGAAAGCGTCTTAAGAATTTTTTTCTTTTTCAAATTATGAGATATTTTTCCTTATGAGATGGTCACAAATGAGCTTAGAGAGTCGTAGAATCCCTGAAAACTAAAGTGTTTAGTGCGGTCTACTTCTTGTCGCTTAATATGTGTTTCTAGCACCTTTTTTGGTTGAGAGCCACATTTCCCTTGTTTTCACAAATTTTGACGCTTTGTTCCAAATAGATTTCAAGCCTTTGTGTTCAATTATGGTTATTTGAAACTACTGACACTTAAATAATCTACACAGGTTATTACTACCCAGGTGCTCTATTACAATGAAATGTTTCTTTAGTATGATTTTTCACAATAATGAAGTGCCATATAAAATGCACTTGTATTAAAATAACACACTTAGTAATAATCAATCGAAACGGAACAAAAAGAGGTCTTTTAAAAAAAAGCAAAACAATCAACTTTAAAGAGATGGGCTTCTAAAGACTGAAGTCTTCCCCGTTGATTCATCACAGAAAGTTACACCGTGCATTCAACTTCATCACCATCATAGAGCTGAGAGCTTATTCCACCTATACAGTGGCATATTGGGGTGTAATGGAATATCAAGCCAGTGTTTTTATCCTCTTAGATAAGTCTGGTACCAAGTCACGGACCCTTGAGCGATGTGGTCGTTGTTCATTCTATGGACGGGATCGGACCAACGACGGACCTTATGTGCATTGCAGGGTACATTTAACGACTGCGCTGCACACTCTGTTGACGAGTGGTGTAAGAACTGGGATTTCTAGCTATTAACATCTAAATCTTCTATTTTGACCATGAAGAAAGGTTTCTTTCAGTAAACAGCAACTTAGCAATATCATGCCTGAAATATCATCTGAAATAAAAGATGTCAGGCAAACGCTATGCCCTCGTTTTGCAGTGGTCGCTCCTGTGCAGGTATTCCAACGTCGTCACCGTTCAATAATTTTAGACATTCTACCCAACAACTCACCAATTCACTTAAAAACACTGTCGTCAATGATTTCACAGATTTCACATGACATCTTTTATTTTTTTATTCTAACTCTACTAATCAGTAACATTTGTGTGCTTGAAGCCAACGAATAAAACGAGCAAAATCTTTAGGAGAACCTCCACCGTTTACTGTTTTGATCAAAAAATCGCTATTTTCGAAACTATATTCTGATGCGCTTTCTAAATGTAGAGCTATCATTACGTTGCTATGACGCCTATGTCCATGGTATGGAGCTTTAGAAAAAGGTGCTAAACTCTTAGTTGAAAAAGATACCGATTTTGCTTAAGTTGGGCGTGAATCGCCAATATCTAGTGATAATGATATTTTCTGATATATTATTATGTCAACAAAGGATAAAGCTCTTGGTGTTGATCAATCCCTGAGGAATACGCATTCCACTTCATTAAGTATTCTCGGTGACTGAATGCATATCTGGCCTTTATAATGACTCGCGGTGACCTACGATGTATCGAGCCAGTGCTGCTATCCTCTCAAACAGTTCTGGTACCAATGTGCTAACCCCCGGAGGGATGCAAGGGTTAGTGAGCCACGGGCGCAGGGATCGATCCCAGGTGTGTGTTGCAGGGTGCCTCCGACCACTACGCCACTCGTTCTCTTTTATTATGTCGAGTGCAAGACCACATATGCATTCGACGACTCTCTGCTGGTGTTTGGTGAAGTCAAATATATGGCGCATCTCTAAGCGATTTATGAATGTGGAACACTTTATTCTTTACTCTTGTATTTGATACTAACGAATACGCGACTGACCGATTTTTCAACGATCGTAATTTTTCACTCTTAACTGAAGAGTTATGATTCAGTATGTTCAATTATCATGGCATTCTGTCCAATGATGTCGACCGCTATATTCAACTCTATTTTCTACATGACTCTGGATTGGTGGCCAGGTTTTGCGTTCTTCGTGGGTGGAATACTGCAGCTGCTTGTGGTTGGCGGACAAGGGTTCGTACCATCGTATCGTTGCATCGATTATTACTGATTGTTACCGATGTCCTTACAAAATAAGTCTCTCTTTTACACTTCTTGTCCTTTAGCTCTCAGTATCTTACTGATTTTATTTGCAGAGCCGTTCATATACTGATGCGACCTCAATGGATGGCAGAAAAAAAACTGAAGGCTCAGATTAATGCTCTTTCGCTAACAGTTGGAGTTGATAACACAGACAGCTACGGTTTGGTCTCAGTATTTTTTCTTAAGACATTTAGCTTCGATGGAAATTTCGGAAGCGTTGAGTAGCATATCTTCATCTTGAAGAATACTTGGTTAAATTTGTCTCCAGCTAACTTTCCGTTATTTAAACTTCAATAACATTATAGCTGCATATGCTTCATAAAAAATCGATTCTGATGCAACGCAGAGTAAAATCGATTGTTCCTTATTGAATTTTCTAATACCTAAAGAGCTTTATGTATGCTTGATATGTAGTCAAATTCCTTATGAGGTAGTGGAGCAAGGAAATTCATTTCATGAAGGACAATGTTCTCTACGGTTGGATTGGTGTAATATAAGTGATTTAGAGCAGGGTACTTCTGCCAGCGTTGTCGATTCATATCTGAACGACCACTCAGTGGATGAAGACCTACGCGAACCGTGAACGTGTAAGAAGAAGAGTGCGGTATTTAGTCCTCTAGTCAGAACTTTCTATGTCAATGCTTGAATTCGGGAATGTTAGCATAAAAGACATTAAGGATATCGAGAACAGCAGGTCTATGGATTCGATTGTCGGCTGGTTCACTTTTTGAAATGCTGGTATATGTTTTCTGTATCATTGATGCGCCTAGTACTCTAAATGGTGTCATCTTTATCCACTTAACTGATTCATTTGATTGAGCATATCGACGTCGATGTCTGTATTATTTCTCCAGTGCTTATTTTGTATACAAATGAAATTTGCTAAATATTCGGCTCATTCGTGAACGAACTAAAATTGGAACGGTACAGAAAAGAAAATCTTAGGACCAACTTCTTGTTAACCCCGGTGTTGGTCAATAAACCACTGTTTTCTTGCCGAGCGTACACGAGGTTGTTTCTTCAATTCTTATTTACACTACCTAACTTTTCTGCGCTTTCGTCTTCTTCAGAGCTTAGAAGGTTCAAATTGACACGTAGTCCACATTCAGACAATTTCATAACCTCAGCACACGGACAACTCCTTTAACTTTTATTCACCGACTATTCTTTTTTATGACAACGTATGCTGTGAAGCAGAAGCACAGTAAATGAATAAAAAGATTAGAAAGGATAAAGCCCTCGACGTTGATCAATTGCTCAGGGATGCGCCATGCATTCGACTTCATTAAGTATCGTTTGGAGGTGACTGAATGCATATCTGGCCTTTACGATAACTGGCGGTGGGCTACCGATGTATCGAGCCCGGGCTGCTATCTTCCTAAACAAGTCTGGTACCAATTTGCCGGCTCCGAAGGGATGATGGGCCATGAGCGCAGGGATCGATTCCACATGTGTGGTGTAGGGCGCATCCGACCACAGCGCCACACGCGCCACATTAAGCGAAAGTGGTAAATAAAAGTCGAACATTATGATTTTGACTGCAGATTAAGCTTAACAACATTCAGTGCCAATTTTTTGCTCTTGAGCCAACTTTCGCTGACGGGTGATTGTTGATAGCACCCATGGAGTAAAAATCTGGCTAAAACAAAGCATAGTAGAGGCCTCGGGGTGATGGAGATAGCACGTGGGCCCTTGCACTATAGTGCGATTGGATCCATTATGATAAAGCTCGTAGAAATTTCTTTGGATGAAGAATTATACCAATAATTGGAATAAGTATGTCGGTGGCTCACAGCTTACTTACAACAGAGAGAAACCCTTTCTTTTACATGTTCATAAAGAACACGAAGAAATTCCAGTTGGTGGATCAACAGAACAAAGCGGCACCCGAGCGGAAGTGTAGAAGAAATATTCTTGTGGTGTTAAGAACATATGAACACAAGCTTTTAACTGCCAGATTGAAGACATTTGTAATTGAGAACTATCGCGTTTACTTTTTCCATCGATAAGTTAGCACGTGGTTGATTCCAAGTTCTCGACTTCTCGACTCCTGCGACGAAATCCAGAGATTGGAGCGATGCTCGACTCCTGAACCTTCAAGTCGATGCGACTTCGAAGACTCACATCACAGGAACGAACAGCAACGGACATTTTATTCGGATCATAACGGCTGTGAAGAAGGCAAAGACACCGAACCGTCCGAATAAATTTTGATAACAACCCCTACTACTTTATCCACGGGAAAAGTAGACACTGATTTCACATCGAGGTTAAATGAAAATCAGTTAACAAATATGCTACCTATTTAGATAAGATCACCTGTGTTCACATGTTGTACAAAGCACATCACTTCTGTTCTATCATAGCAACCATAGTGATGCTGATACATGACCAAAACTCGGAACCTAAGTTGGATTTCGAACCCACGACTAGTAAAACTCGGAACCCCAGTAGGGCTTCGAACTCGCGATCAGGTTTTGAGGGAGGTCGCGTGCCTCTTTGCGATTTTGTTCCACATGATATTCTGCTATAAAAAAGGAATAAACCGAAAATAAATTTTAAAAAATGTAATTTCGACTGCAGGTTCAGCCTAACTGGATTGAATGCCCATTTGCACTATGTCAATATCGTTCTCACTAACGGGTGATGACCTATAGACGAAAAAACCGGACGAAAGGAAACCAACCCAAAGAAATGCTTAAATGTTACATTAACTGGTGGCCACACGTCCTCGTATCGGCCAAATATGCTTGTAATCATCTCTATAATATTTCACGCAGTCAGCCCCAAACACTTTATCCTTTATAGAGCGAAGTCCTTCTTATAACTCTATGAAGTTCCCAACTCCTTAAGGACCTGAGCTACTGAAGTTTTATCGGATGTTATCGATGAACAAGCTTCATCGACTTCAATGATGATCACTTTATCCTTTGTAAAGTGAAGTCCTTCATATAATCTATGAACCTCCCAACTCCTTACGGGTTTGAACAGCCAAACTATTATCAGGTATTATCAATAAACCGCATCTGTAGCACAGTGGTCGAAGGCGTCCTGCAAGACACATGTAGAAGCGATCCCGCGCACATGGCCCACCAAGCCTTCCATCCCTCCGGGTCGGCAAATTGGTACCAAACTTGTCTGGGAGGATAGCAGCACTGGCTCGATATATCGATAGAGCACCTCGAGTCATTGTGAAGGCCAGATATGCATTCAATCACCTCCAAACGATGCCTAATGAAGTCGAATGCATGGCGCATCGCTTAGGGAATGATCAACGCCGAGAGCTCTATCCTTTATCCTTTATCAATGAACCAGCTTCATCCACTTCAACGCCAATCACATCCTTTATAGAGCAAAGTCACTCCTATAACTCCTTGACGTTCCTAACTCCCTAAGATTGCCATGTTCTATCGATAAACGAGCTTCATCCACTATGTGTTGACAGTGAATGACAGCCCAGCCGAACCATGTCCGTAACCGACACGAAATTAGACGTCGCCCAGCGGTAAGCACAGAGCACAAGTTGCCGTGCGTCATGTGTTAAGTAGAAGTTGGTCTCTTCTCCGTATATTATAGCAGTTAACTATCTCGTTAATTATGACTATAATTAGAGAAATCCACTCATGAATGCCTCTTTTGCTGTCGTTGATAGTCGTAACCCCTATATTGCAGGTGCAGAGAACTTATTGGTGCAATCAAAGGCATGGGTTTGGACGACCCTTCTATTGTCGAGCGAATCTCTGACACTTCAAAGAAGGTAAGGATAGAAATAAGAAGAGTTAGAACAGTAACGAAGTAGGTTTTCTTTGTTATAGTTTTTGTTATCTAGGTTGGCAACGTTTTCACACAATGGTGGAGTCTTACAACGGCTGATAAACGACCACCTCCTAGTCCAGATAGATTGGTTACTGTGAAAGAGGTATAGTTTGTGGCTATAATTGATGAAGTCAAAGGTGTAAATAACCTTTGACCCGAGTACTTACCTCTGAGTTCTCTTCCCTTAAAAGCTAGTCGTTTTTGGATGTTCGTATTTCGTCGAAGTGGAGGAACATAAGTGATTTCCAAAATGGAATCGTGCCAGTGTCAAACTTTATGGAGAAGACATAATATGCCTTGACTCACCTGTATAATCTGTTGTCCTGTTGATCGTCGAGTGACTCGAGCGGGCGCCAGTAAACCTTACATTTTTCCCTGTCACGTGCAAAAGTAGCTCAGGGGTCTGCTCACTTTGGGGACTCATTGAGCATCAAACCTATCTTCTAGGCTTTTCGTGAGGAACTCTGACTATTCTGACTGTGAGGTCGGTGGTCTTCCTGCAGTGCGTTTAAAATTCCAAGGAATGCCTTGGGTACCATGATTGACTGTGCTTATGAAATCGCTTTTAAGAGGACCACGTGTTTGGTAGACCACAATTGTTTGTGGTGCTTCCTTGGCCCAATGGTCCATTTCGTGGATACCTAGGATTGTAAAAGTGTTTTGGGGTATTTTAAAGTGCGAGCATATTGGTAATCGAAGCCTACTACTTTGTCATCAGATTCTTACGGCAACTCGGTTATGTTCGATGTTAAGAATGCTGTATTCCAGCTTCCTATATATCCCGATGGTGACAAGGAACCCTCGTATAAGTTCGTTACGCAAGATCCATTACCTCTTCAGAAAGAGATCTCTACACTACGGAAAGCATACGCTGCTGAATATCAAAGGATTTCGGTTAGTTGTTTTTTTAAATCATTACCTACAATACTTGGATAATTTGTTGGCCCGTCTTAACTGGTTCGTTGTGCGGGCCCCAACATGATTTCCATCTTTCGAAATTTTGCTGGTTAAGATATTTTGGTTCCCTGGAGCCCCGAGATCAGCCTAGCCAAAGTCTGCCCCATGTAGACCACCACAAGCAGTCGCCGCTCTTGTGGATCAGAGGGAGATTTACCACCGTGCAGGAAGCTGGTGGTATCACTACCTACAATAGTCGAATTCAATAACAAAATGGTCAAGCTGTCGTCATGTGTGGGTCTTAATTTGCCTTACTGTTATTTCCTGGTGGTATTTATCCCGACTTCTCCTGGGCCATTTTTTAAACTACATATAGGTGCCTTAAGACTCCATCAATCTATGCGTCAACTAGTAAACATACTATATTCCTCTATTTCCCTTTACTAACAGGTCGTTGAAATTTCCAGGAGCAATTCGAAATTGTTGATAAGACTGTCGAAAAATCGAAGGACTTACTTTCAAGTTGGTTTTCTTTTATTTATATAACCCAGTCATCAAGCATATAACCATGGCAATGCTGAAATGTTTGCAAAACTCTGGATCGCAGGTGTCTTCGATGGGGAATGAACGCGCTATTACCTTTTCCGAGAGATAACGCGCTCACCACCGCACCATGCGTGTCCTTCGTTTCCGTGTCTCTCAGCTAGTTTTCGGTCGACCACTGTCATCAAGCTTATAGTTCATAAACATTCAGAAACAAAGTCGTATGTGGAGACTGAGTGGACAGTGCTACCCAAAGCAGCCGCAATTACGGTCGGTGGCATGGCAGGGTTTGTCCTGGGACTGAAAAGGCACTTATATTCTTTTACTTGAAACGCTTTCATACTCTTTTGTCCTCATTTGTCTCTTGTTGGTCTTAATCCCGTTACTGAAATCCTTTTTAGGGGCTATATCGGTCGTGCGCTGTATACCGCTTTTGGTCTTGCTACTATGGGTGCTTTTTGTTATCCTTATGAGACAGTTGACTTAGTTCGTGAAGGAATTCGCTATTCGGGACGTGCATGGGAGCAATTCCAAAACCGTGAGGACTTCAACAATTTGAAAATATTCCTCGATTTTTCCTTTTGGAATAATCTTTCTGTTTGGGAAGTGGTTCTATTGCTCGAAAATCTTCGAATGCACTACGTGTCTTCAATCTTTGGTAACACAGAACTTTTTAGCACCACAGCCGCCACAGAAAATAAGAGATAAATGAAGCCTTCCCGTACGAAGGAAGTTGGTACTCTAGTAGCACAAGGTTATACACAGTAGTAGTATACAATATTGTATTAATTCTACTATTACAGTGGTGCAATAAAGATCCTGTACATTTTCCATTTCAAGCGATACATTTTTGTTAGTTCGCTTCACCAGGTGGGTCGGTCCACAAAGCTTAGCATCTCAAACTATGAAAGTATGGGACTTTGACTAGAACCGTACTTAGTGATTACAAAGACTGGACCTTCTACCAAATGTACTTATTTCCGACAAATGAAGCACCGGTGATGAAAGTGTAATTCATGGAAGGTTAGCTTACTTATTTGGACACTTGGGACGGCCGGTCTTTAGTGGTTATGAGGGCGCCAGCATAATTTCCACTTCTTCGGAGTTTTGCTGGTTTACGTATTGTGGTTCCATAAAGTGCCCAGGTCATCTTAGCCAAAGTCTCCTTTAGGTTGTCGCCACCCTTATGGATCAGAGGGAGATTTAGCACCACACAACTAATTTGGTACCAAGACGGTGGTGGATCTTGGTACTGGTTTACTCTTAGCTGGGCTTTCTAGTGGAAACGCCGGACTCCGTCTAGGAAACCTTGCAGAGGATGAATCCCACCGCTGTACATCGCAGCCACACACTCAGGAAGGGCTTACAGCCACAATGAGCCGAGAAACCGTTGGGAGGGTAACTGAAGAAAAAAGATAATGTAAATCTTTATTGTGACTAGTAATAAACACTCGGAACACTTGCATGCAAACAAAACAAGGTATGGATCTCACCGACTCGGAATAGAAATTACATCTGTTGTACATTGAATTTCACAACAATGTCAACAGAACTTATGTCGGACAATTTACTCTTAGAAAATGAGGCCAGAGACGGCTACACTTATGCTATGCGGTCAACATGTGAAGATAAAAAAGCTGTCGTACAGAAAACCACCATTGATCAGTTTTTCCGCTTGTCCTGCATTATCTCCTGTCCAATGAAATCCAGAACGGATTCTACTACTTCGCTAGTCTAAACGTATGAGTGAGAGCACAGAATGGGAAAGCCAGATACACAAAAGAAACGCTTTCTCCATTTAACTTACCTTAGCTGTGCCACCTATATCAGGCGTATGAACTTGTCTCTCAACGAGGGTACGATAAAGTGAGTCTGATATAAGGTTGGCATGTTTGTTGAGTCCAAGGTATCTAAAAATCTAAAGTTTAAGTCCAAAACGTACTAAATGACGACATCTTTAATAGTGGTTGATGCCTGTACCAACCAAGAACTGCTAACGAGGCAACTATATAACATAAGAAAACTAGAAAAGGCCTTGCAAAAATGTACAGGGAAGTTTAGTTTATGAACTAGATATCCTACATAATAGTATATTAATACACGCAGTGTGTATTCAGAAATGTCGTTAAATAACTTTCGAAAGGAAGGGAATACCTTAATAAAAAAGAGAATGAGTGTTCCAACATAAAGCAAATATGTCTTGCCAACGTTATCGTTGAGCCCTAGCTGATGGTTGCACTACTTATGGATGCTTTCTTTATTGCTCTTCTGATCGATACTTATATGTGGTACTGTTCAGGAAATAAAGGATGACGAAGACAACCAAAATGAAGACCAAGTATGGTGTGGTGATGAACGCGTTAGCCCCTGGAAAGGGTAATAGCGCGTTCGTTCCCCACCGCAAACACCAGCGGTCCGGAATTTTGCAAATATATCAGTATCATTATATTTCATATAACACCCTGCCATTAAACAAAAGTATGCACTAAATAAAAAATAACGACATAAAGATGGAGATAAATCGTAAATTTCTTGCAATTGCGTGTTACTAGATGAAGACCAATAACGAGATGAGTAGCTGGCATTCGGAAACTGAAATATAGTAGGTGTAACACCACAAAAGAAACCTAAGCATATCAGCAGAAGCCCTTATGAATGCGGTTGGGTTAGCCACATCCTTTCCGACAAGCGACGTTCCAGTGTTCCGAGTTCCCTAGAATGAAAAAGATATTAATTGCATTTAACGGCTAAGATGGCATCGTCTTAATTGATGATAATGATTTATTAAATGTTCCGGAAAAAACGATATTTGTATCGAATCAAAGAAAATTAGCGACGGGAATGGTTATTCAAATGTTATAAAGCAAAAAAATTTTACTTTCTCCATCAAGGACTTACAAAGAGACTGGGAAATTTAAACTGTAGCAAACTACTCCATAAGGTCTTATATAACGTATAAACACATAATGGTGAAGACTTCGAAATTAGTATCATAACGCTAGCACAGATACAAAGAAACTCCGCACAATGACATATGAGACTGCTCCTTATTCCAGACTTTTCTGATTTCTTTTAACCAATTTATAGGCTCCTCCTAACGGTTTACCGCCTCATCGTGGCTAGGAGCTGTTCCTGGATCTCGGGCTGCGATGTACCACGGTGGGATCCATCCCCCACCATGGTCTCCTAAGCTGAGGAGTCCAGCGTTTTCATTAGGAAGCCCACAAAAAAGTAAACCAGAAACGGGATCCACCACCGTCCTAGCATCAAACTAGTCGCATGGTGGCAAATCTCCCACTGATCCACAAGAGCGGCTGCTGCTTGTGGTGGTGACGATCTGGTGCATACTTTGGCTGGACTGACCTTGGGACTCCAAAGAACCACAATGGCTAAACCAGGAAAACCGTGAAAAAGCGGAAATTATGCTGGGGACCGCAGAATCAGTGAAGACGGGCCGTCTAAGTATACAAGTTGTTCATAAGCTATGTGGAGAAAAGTAGGCATACGCTTGAAAAGAAGAACACAACCCGGAGGAAAACACTCCTAATATACCGATTTTTCTCATAGAAGAAAAAACCAGCAATCATCCAAGGTTTCCTTCAATTTCTTTTTTGGTTTTCTTTCACATCAAATTACGGAAATGACAACTAACCGTCTCAAACACGGCATACATGTCCCCAATGTTCATACCGGATACTAGTCCAGGACCGCCGACTAGACCACATGCAATATTCGATATGATGTTCCCATACAAATTCGGCATGAGCATTATATCAAACTGCTGAGGTCGGGCAACCTAAAAGAAACACTAATGAAACACTGCGATGTACCCAATTGCCTTAACAGGAAGTTAGCAAACGGCACGCAAATCGTTAGGAAATCAACATTCTGAAACATTTCACGACTTCTCCAAAACAAGCTAATACACTCATGCCAAACTATTACTTCTAATTCGTCCCTATATGTTTTACAACATAATTCCCAATCCACTCGTAAACAACACAAAGGTGGATCCTTCGTCATGTTTCAAATGCACTCGCAAGTCTAAACAACTGGATTTTAAACTTGAAAATTCGATTAAATATAAACCTGGAATACCTGGTGAAGCTAATATCACTGAAAAAGAACATGAGCAGGTGCAGGACTAGGGATCTATAAGCCCCATAATAACGGAAGTTTCTACAAGGTTCTGAGAGAACAGTTTTGCTAACGACAAATATTCAGCAAAGGAAGTACCTAGATCAACACTTAGTGGGATAATGCCACTATGGTCTAAAAAGAATGAAATAAACATGGAATTCAAACATACTAGTTGCATGGATGCATTGTCCACAATCATTGAGTCAAACTTTATCTCAGGATATTCTTTCTCGGCGATTTCCTTGCATACCTGTAATATTACTATTACAAATATACTTCAATACTTAGATGACCCATCTTCACTGGTTTTAGCCCCAGCATAATTTCCATTTTTTCGGAGTTTTGCTGCTTTAGCTACTGTGATTCACTAGAACACCGAGGTTAGCCCAGCCAAAGTATACTCCAGGTCACCGCCATCACAGGCAGTCGACGCCCTTATGGATCGGGGGGAAATTTGCCAACATGCATTAGTTTGATATTAGTACGGTGGTAGATCACGGTACTGTTTACTCTTAGCTCAGCATTATCGATGATATAGAGGATGTAAAATCGAATAAGAGAAAGACGCACATTCAAGAACAAACCGTCTCCCAGTTTTTGAATATTTGCTTTGTGTACAGCAGTTATCTTCTTACGACCATACTTCTTTGCATACTGGAACGCAAACCGCGAAATGCGTTCAATTTTAGTTCGAGTCACAATCTTAACGAAAACGTTGCAGTCGGCGCTGGCGTCAGTGGGACTCGTCACAAAAACAAGCGAAAAAGTCCCATTATGATCGTACCTTTAGGCTTTCAACGATCCCAGGAGTTGTTTCGTGCTCCAGGCCGGAGTATTCTCCCTCTGTATTTTCGCGAATAATAATCATATCGATGTCCTGCAACAATTCTGTCAACCCACGCCGATTAGTAAGCGTAATAGGAAAAAAACTTTAAAACAGTTCGGCGTATAGCTCGGTTGACCAAACTATGACTATGCTAGAACAGTCCTTAGTCCTTAGAACTAGACCAGCCCTTCCTTTAACCTCAGTATAACCAACCGCTGTGCAATCTTTCTTCGACAACTTTATACGAGGTTGACAAACGATTTTTCTTCGGCTAACTGGCCGATGGCCACCACCTCTGATGAAGGCGAAAACGTCAAAACATTAGCCGAATAAAAATCATTTGTCAACCTCGTGTAAGCATATCAAAGTTTAACAAAGTTAAGTGGACAAAAGTGAAGAAATAAAGCATTTCATAGGCATCTGAAGAAAATAAAAAATGGGAACGACTTACACGGTGTCTACTACGGACGGAAGGTATACTACAGCAATGCAACACGTTTGCAAACAGATCCAACTCCCGTCTCAACTCCACATTGCGAGATTTGAACTGCGGATCATCAAATTTGGACTCAATGTTTCCCTAAAACATCTCATAAGACCATAAGTACAGCAGCATTTATGTTATACGAGTTTACCACTAGTCATTTGTAGTTTTTAATGACTTGAACAATTTCACAACAGTAATAGTTATTACTCACTTACTCATTATGTCTCACACATGATTGCAAGGTTCGTTGGATGACCTTGTCAAGTTTCCAAAAAAATCAACCAAATTGGCAAACATTGCACAATCCCTGAGTGATGCGCCATGCATGCTACTTCATTAAGCATCGTTGGAGATGACTGAATGCATATCTGGCCTCTACTATAGCTTGCGGTGGCCTATCAATGTGTAGAGACAGTGCTACTATCCTCCCAGAAAAGTCTGGTACTAATTTGCCTACTCCAGACGGATGGAGGACTTGGTGAGCCACGGGCGCGGTGATCGATCCTATGGGTGTGTCGCAGGGCGGCTCCGACCACTGCGTTACATATATAATGTAGAAGAGGAGAAATTCAATCCCACCTTCAATGCAACACCATTCCTTTTGATAGCCGTTAAAGCCTGACTGAGATCATCAGGTGACTCCGGCACCGAGGACAAATTTACCTCCTCAAAGTCAACAGGTACCTGTAAAATACATCTAAACCATATGTGAGTCGGCAGACAACCATAATCCCATAACCACTTCTCCTGATTTTACCGGTTACCGTTTATGTAAAATACACATAGCACATGTGTGCTATAACAGCAATTCATTGTTAAAAACCTTTCCTAACTAAGAGAATTTTGAAGTTCTAAAACACCAAGAGGAATCAGCTTAGCCAAATTTCAAGGAAGAGCTTAGAATTTCGGAAAATTCAAACTCATAGACAGGACACAGTAGTGTCCCACAATGTGTGTTCATGTTCCTCGTTACACTCTGGCGTCAATAACTTTAAAAATGTACCTTTCGCTCAGAATATTTCATGAATTTTAAGCTTAGACAAGTATAAAATCGAAGTAGCAAATCAAAAAACGATTTACATGCCTAAAGCGATAGTGCTAGGCCTCTTCTCTAAGACTATCAAGTTCTTAAGTTCTGAGTTACGCTGGTCACCAAAGAATTAATGGCACTTATCAAGATGCCAGCATCAGGTGCTATGGTTAACGTAACCAATGAGTCTGTCTTAGATCGACTTACCTGTTGACATGATCATTACTGAACAGCCTCTTACACATATTGAAAAGTACTTTTGAAAATATTCGGAACCCATGATGAGAAGACAATGTAAAGGATTCAGCACTGCCCTCTATTCAGAACCTCACCTGTGCATAACCGAAAACCTTTTGTACATGCTGAAGCATTTCTGGACCAATACCATCTCCGGGTAAAGCCGTTACACTATGACGACCACCGTAACGATTCAGTTTAGCCTAAGCATACAGTTGCAAGTGAGGAAAAAGGAAAATATCCGCAAAATAGTGCCCTTCATGATTCTTACAGAACTGCTATTCATCACCGACGATCTGAACTTCATCATACCCGACGTGACTGCAGTACTAGCCACAGCACGTTGTGCCAGGGTTAAGGGCATTGTTCGACAAAGAGCGACCGCTACCACCATAACTGAAATGAGATCATATAGTGGAACACAAAGAGCTCGATACATTAATTTTATTTCCATTCTAACGCAAACAGAGAGTGTAAGGAATTATGAAGAGAAAATGTGATGAACGGAAAGGAAAACTTCGTGATAGGAAAATATGGTTAAAAAAGGATAAAGCCCTGGCAATGATCAATCGCTGAGGAATGCGCCATGCATTCGACTTCATTCAATATCGCTGGAGGTGACTGAATGCATATCTGGCCTTTACAATGGCTCGCCGTGGCCTACCGATGTATCGAGCAAGTGCTGCTATCTTCCTAAACAAGTCTTGTACCAGTTTGCCAACCCCGGAGGGATGGAAGGCCTGGTGGGCCATGCGCGCGGGTATCTATTCCACGTGTGTATTGCAGGGCGTCTCCGACTACTGCGCCACACGCGCCCCTAGGAAAACATGACAGTAAAGTAGTAAAAGAAATAGAAAAGAAGGACGATTGGTGATAGAGTCGAGACTAGTGAGTGTTGGAGAAGGTCCAAACAACACCAACTGATCGGCTGCTGAAGGCACATTCGGGCGGACCGCCAAGTCTCCATGAGGTCTACTGGAGCAAACTGGTAATAACCATAGTAACTGGAGCGAGTAGTGACAACGCGTGGACAAAAGTGATAAACGAAAGAACAAGGCGACTATATTTGTGATTTACATGTCCAGAAACTCAGACAAACAAACATTCGATAGTTGCACAATGGAATGCTAGTAGTAACAGTACCAAAAATAGTAATAATAATGGTGGTAACAATAACGACATATATGTATTCTTTCTTGATAAGCTTGCACGAGGTTGATAAATATATTTATTTTCCTCCTTCTGTTCAGCAAGCACGAGGTGCCATTTTATTTCTTTATTTACGCACAAGCTGACGTTTCGGCGGATTTCGCCTTCCTCAGAGCCTGGAAGGGTCAAGTTGACAGCAATCCACTCGGCCAAACACCTCCATAACCAAACATAGAAAACGCTAAACCAAGATTTCAATCACATTTAGCATGGCTCTGCACACTCACCGCTTTCTATGAGTCTTCCACTGAGTATGTCGCGTGAAGACCGACCGCACAGAATTCACATGGAAGCGTAATGTGCCTCTACCCATCAGAATAATATTTTATATTATATAATTATAATATATTTATTTTCGGCTAACGTTTCGAAGTCTTCGTCTTCCTCAGAGCCGATGATCCGAGTCGATGGTCCATGCTAGTTGTTCGTCTCGACGTTGCAGCTTCGCCTTCGTGTCGAGCCAGATCTTCCTCAGTGAGCCATCTTCTCGAATGAGGCATCCTTACTCAGTGATGCCCTTTTATACACGATGCTGATGGTGTATGTATAATGATAATATCCGGTGGTAACAACTTGTATTTCTTCCGCACATCATTGCGCACATCGTGCAGAAGTCGGTGTTTTTTTATTTTATCTTTAATAAATAAATTATTTTAATAAATATATTTATCAACCTCGTGCAAGCTTATCAAGAAAGAATACATATTGATTAGTCACACCGAGGTTCAAGGAAAGTCGGTTTCGAAATAACGACATAGTAAAAGTAATAGTGGCTGAGTAAAAGTGGAAATAAAAAATTAAAAAACGAAATAAAATGATAAAAAAAATTGGAGAATCTACAAAGATACAAGAAGTAACCAGTACTAACTGTTCAAAAATGATTGATGAGCAAAAGTCAAGAGCAAACCACGCCCACTCGAATGGAGCACGTCAGCTGACGATATGAAAGTGTGATGGTAACTGTTAAGTAGACTGAACGACGATGATCTGCTGAGTGGATACTGCTCGCTCGGAGAGCAAGAAGTGCACCACAGTGGGTTCTGCCCGCTCGAAGGATGCCAAGTGCACCACGCTGGGTTCTGCTCGACCGAGGATACGAGGTGCACCACAGTGGGTTCTTTTCGACCGATGGGTACGAAGTGGACCACAGTGAGTTCTATTCGTTCGAAGGACACGAAGTGCACAGCAGTGGGTTCTGCTCGCTCGAAGAAAACAAAGCGCACCAGATTCTGACGTCATTTGCTTTTACAGCCTGTGTCGATGACTCTTGCTAGGTGCACTGTTCTCGAGCGATAGGTGATTTTTTATTCCTAATTCATTGCGTGCATTTAGCCTAAATATCGTGTCCGAAAAAGTTGCTAGGAGGACTAATCGAAGAAATAACAGTTACATAAATCCCTCAGAACGTCTTCCTCGGATCCCAATTGTGGTGCGAACGCCTTCACGAGGATATGATAAAACTACAAATAGTTTCAGTACTCAGCACAGTGCTCCTACCGATGATGTGAGGCTGAAAGGCAGTTTCTTAGAGCCGGATTAATCTCCAGTTTCGAGGACGTCGGAGTCGGATGGTACGAATGCCCCGTGACAGGCCATACAAAGTCTTTTTAGTTCTGCATCTACAACAGAGGAACAGTCTTTTCGTGAACCCATCCTTGTAGTTTTCCTGAGGTCAGAGGTCTTGTCAAATTCTTTCCCATTGCCGTACAAGGAACAAAACCAGAATGAAAGAAGAATGAGATACGCCGATTAAATGACAGAACCCTTGCTATCCGTGAAGGAAAAGAATGTTGGATGTATAAGATTTCACTTACCCATCCGTTAACTATGTCGCCCACTTATATGAGATCCTTTCCCTCACTTGGCCATCCACCGTCATCAACTCATACGTAATAAAAAAAAGTCAATATTACCAGTTATATAACTTCCATAATGTTGAGATATTTGCAAAACTCCGGACCGCAGGTGTCTGCGGTGGGGAACGAACGCGCTGTTGTCCTTTCCGGGGAGTAACGTGTTCACCACGTCCACGCAAATATCTCAGCATTATAGAAGTCATACTTCGCAACATACCCTTCCATTGAAAGGAATAGGCAGTAAATAAAATGGTTAAGATTCTTACGAAGTCTTCGTTTTCAGACATCGTTCGGCTTTCGGAGTATAGCAGTGGAGCCGACATGATGAACACAGTGTTTATCGAAGAAAGGAAAATCATTGGACTCCGCATAACTCCGAAGACAACTCAGCTGACGAAAACTATAGTGCTAAAGTAAACAAATCGAGCCGTGTTTTTCCCTTTATTGCAGAGGCTAGCTCATTTCCATACCTTAATTCATTTCTCAGCGTTAACAAATAATAGAGAACAACTCGAAAAACCGACTTTCTATAAACTTCGGCATAGATGGTTGATAAATTTATCTATGTGATCTTATAAACTGATCTTCTTAAGCTGACGCGAGGTTGGTACAGGGGCTCTGAGGAAGGAAACAGTCCTTAGGAAAGGAAAAAAAAAAAGGAAAAGCACGTAACATCACGGTGAGTGGCCTTTCTGTTCAATATGACGTCTATTTGAAAGTTTGATCTTCATTAACACTTTAACCTTTCTTTTCCACCGAATAATAAAAACATTCTAAATTAAATACGTCCAGGCTCTGAGGAAGGCAAAGTCGCCGAAACGTCAGCCATCGATCAATAACATCAAAAACAACGACTACGACAACGAAGGCCTGTACCAACCTCGCGTCAGCTTAAAAAGATCAGTTTATAAGTTCACATAAATAAATAGAGAACGACATTAAGGAGGAATTAAGCACAAGATGGACTGCATAGACCACATCTGGAATACTCGGTGAACTCACGCAAATAATGCAAGCCAAACTCTGCTAACACGTCTCGTTCACCCAGAGCTCTGCTCTATGCAACACAGACGTGGGTTAATACTATAACGGATTAAAAAGAATTATGAGCGCCCCACCTTTGGTGCTGGTTTAATATGTCTTTTTTGAAATATAATCGAATACCACCGAACCAATTCCCCTTTTATAGTTCTGATCCTGAAATCGAACCACGTTTTCTAGGGCGACACAGGGATTCGACAGGGCGACGCAATATCCCTAAAGTTGATTAGTGCCGCACCGCAGTTGATAATGAAGTCACTCAACTGAGATGAGAAAGCCATACGTATTAACGGAAAATTCCTGTGAAACTTTCGTTTCACCGACAACATCGAGATCTTCTCATGAAAAACCAATGAAGCAGAGGAGATGATCAGCTAGCTCAGCGAGGCGGGAAAAAAGTTCGGAGCACGCATAAATAGGAAAAGACCCAGTGCATGAAAAACTCATGATGCGAAGGCGAAAAATTGAACTGGACGGCTCTCTGGTGTCAGAGAGCATTACCTTGGGCTATCAAAACATAGAAAAGAACATGAAGGAGGAATTAGACAGAAGAAGGAGAGCAGCTTGGGCCGTATTCGGGCCTCTTAAAGAAACCACCGACCAGCTGAAGGACCTGAAAGTCCGCGCTCATCTTTCGATTCTACGGTCCTCCTAGCGCTTTGTTATGCTGCAGAGACGTGAGTTGATACTTCAACCACGTCAAGAGTGCTTCGCACTACTCACAGAGCGCTTGGGCGATGTCTTCTGAAATATAACCGGCACTCTCAATATTTAGCCTAAATGCCTTTGATCTTCGAAATATGTCACATCTTCGGGATCCAAGAGACTATGCATCGGTAGCGAAACATAGATGGGCCGGTCACATAATGAGAGAAACAAACGACAGATGGACGAAAAGAACAGTAGAGTAGGCTCCAAGAGAATGCATACGTCCCATTGGACGGCCACCTACACGTTTGGCGGACGCGTTCATAAACAAAGTTAATCAGCTGTACCCACAGCTGCAGTTGTTTTACAGATCACGGTATGAGACTCACAATCGCCACCGTGCTCGAACAAAACCATCACCATGGACGGCGATTGCGAGGGAAGGATACGAATGGCAAATGTGCTAGGGTCCGCACAACTCGTAAAGGCGGACCATCCAATTATCCATGTAAGGTCTTGAAATCTATCCCATATTCGAGATCCAGGACTATATCGTTAACGAAACACATATTTTTCGGTCACATAGAAGGAGCAGACGATAATGAATGGAAAGAGTTGCAGAAAGGACTCCACGTCGATGAAAGTAGCCGCTGGGGTGGCAGGATGAGTGCACATGTTTGTTGAAGGAAATTACCACCACGGACAGAAAAACGAATGGAAAAGGTGCTGGGAGTCGCATTACGCGCAATGTCGGACTGTTCATGCACCAAATGAGTACGTTTTCTTTTCTTGCCAAAAAGGTAGCCGCGGTCCAATGGCCTCTACAACGGCCTAAATTTGCTCTTAGCTAAGCTTCCCAAAGCAAATGTCGAACTCTCAGCGTGGTAACTAACTACTGTGAGATAATGAGTCTCCGCTATACGCCGCATTTCGACATCCCCTAACTTTTCCTTGCTATAAACTCCAAATCATTGGTATTTAATGAAATATCACATTCGTCAGCTCCGCTTCACAGATCACACCGGCGCTTAGCCAACACCACCTGCTTCCCCAAGAGGAATTAAAGCTAAACAGTGGGAGAAAACGTTGTCTTACAGTGCATATCGATAAATATATCTTTGCCTGTTTCGAAGAATTTTGTGAAAACACAGCAATATCAACAAAGCACTCGAGAATTTCGTTCGATGCTTCTTCTACTGCTAGAAGCCGACAGGACAAAAATTGTTTGATTGAGACATACAAGTCAACACAAAAAGTAAGAAGTTTCTCAAAAGGCCACTTGGATTGATTTAAGTCTCGAGACTTATTTAACGATATTTCAGAGGATCCTTTTGCAGGCTATTTTGGAGCAGCACCACTTTAGAATTTTGATTTAAGTCAAATTTAAGTTATTTAGAAGCTTTTAAAATTTAAAAACTAAAAATCTAAGTTATTTTATTTAGTTAGGTTATTTAAGTTAAGTTTAATTTAATTTAAATGGAATTACCTGCCTCCTCAATTATGTGGAGTCTACTTGATCATCGAATGACTCAGGAGTACACCAGTACATCCTCCACTCCTCACTGTCGCGTGAAAAAGTAGCCTAGTGGGTTCTACGCACTCTAGGTGCTCGTTAGACATCATATCTTTCTTCTAAGGTTTTCATGAATGACCATCGGGTCGGTGGTCTTTATGCAGTACGTTCAAACCCTGATGCTTCCGGTCACTAACGGCTCATTTCTACCGATTGTCGTTCATGCATATCACTTGTCCAGCCCACCTTGTCTTCGACAGGTTGGAGTACGGAAAGGCGTCCTTGACTTTTGATCGCTGCCGTAGATCGGAGCTTCATATCCCTTCTCTTACATGGGCTACACTGAAGGCTCCTTGCACTGTCGTTTCAACTTCGCATTCAATAACGCTGAGTGACCTTTCACTTTGTTTATGCGACGACCATGTTTCTCACGCATACGTTAGGGCAGGAAGTACCGTTGAGTCGAAAAAGTGGGCACGGAGTCGGGTGTTCCTTGTTCTGTTCACTACATCCTTAATTCTCTTGAAAGCTCCCCAAGCCACTTGTTTTCTTCTGCTCAACTCTGGAGCTAAGTCGTTCAACATGTTGATTTCTCGACCTAGATAGACATAACTAGAGCATTCGGAGATATTCGTTCTGTTGAGCGACAATGGGGCATGCGAAACCAAACCGTTCCTCATGAACATCGTTTTTGTGAGCTTTCCACAGGCTTTATCAAAGTCGGCGAGCATTCGTTCCGCTTGGCTAATACTTGGTATTACAAGGACGATGTCATCAGCAAAGCGAGTATGATGTAATTGCCGACCATCGATTTTCATCCCTATGTTGTCCCATTCCAGTGTTCGCATGACGTGCTGGAACCTAGGGGTAAACAATATTGACAAGATGGTGTCGCCTTGCCTAGCCTCAGCCTCTCCTCTGACGTCGATGCTAACATCATTGTGTAATGGTGATATCTCTGTTGTAAAATTTTTAAACAACTCAATGTTTTTCATCAATAAGCAGACACGAGGTTGTTAATATAGAATTTATTAGAACACAATTGCTGACGTTTCGGCGGTTTCGCCTTCTTCGGAGCCTGGAAAGGTCAAATTGAGATGTGATCTACTCAGCCAAACACTTTCACAACCCCAGCAGATAAAACTTGACAAATCGATTTGCATTCGCATAAGAAACAGCTTCATTCAAACACCTACCGTTTATTTGTTGTAAGTATTTAAGTTAGTTGGTGGACAGCCGCCGCACAGAGTAATACATGGTCGATAACTGTGTCCATGTCAGGTCATTGGATCAGTCTGAGGTATGGCGCCAGGTCACGCGTGATGACAAGACACTCCTTTTAAACAACTCACTATGAATCTTTATATGCTGAGTAGGGACTCCCTGGATGTTCAGGGCTTCCATGACTGCTTCTATCTCAACTGAGTCAAAATCTTTATATCGATGAAAGTGAGACAAAGCGGTCTTTTGTACTCTCGCGATATTTCAATGAGTTTTGTTATCGTGTGGATGTGGTCCATCGTACTAAATCCTTTTGGAAACCCTGCTTGCTCACATGGCTATCCTTCGTACAGTGTTCTGTCAATCTTGTTCAGGATGACTAGAGTGAAGAGTTTGTAGACGACAGACAGCAAGCAGATTGGACGATAGTTGCCTATATCGTGGAGATCGCCTTTCTTAAACAATAGCAGGACCGTGGTGGTCTTCCATTGAGTAGAGGTATTACATTCAGACAGATAAAGTGTGAAAGCCGAGCCAGTGTGTTTACGAGGGCTGGGGAAGGTTCTTCAGGTGTTTAGACCCTATCCTCTCCGGACTTGGTGCTGTTCGATTTTTCACGTATTAAACAGCATGTCGGATTTCGGAAGGGAGAACCAGTGGTACAACATATCCATCCTCCTTTATTTCATATGACGGTAGGTGGCCATGGCTATCGAAGAGATCTGAGTAGTATCCGTGAATGATTTTCTCCATTGCCTTTCTCGTTGCTGTAAGTGTTGCGTCTGGGCGTCGGAGTGCAGTCATTTTGGTCTTGTTATTAACGGAGCTTCGGTGAACTTTGCAAATGCTTTTCCCAGCCTCTGCAGTTTCGACCATAACTGCTGCTCTTCTCCCTTTGAGGTCTTCTTTTATCGCCTCTCTGCACTGTTTCGCAAGTTTGGACGTTAGTTCGCTGTTGCCTGCACCTCGCTCGATTCCACGCTGGCGTATCAGCTCGAGTGTTTGTAGAGATAGACGTCTTTTGGTGACTTTCCAACTCTCGGCTTCCATAGCGCTAACGTGAAAATTTTCAATGAGCCGATTGCATTTCTCGCCGATGTTGTCAAGAACGGCATTTTCCCACCAGCGCACTAATGAAATGAATAAACCCCATTGTAAACCGGCTTTCATTTAACCTAGGTATGAATAATCAATGGACCTTGTGAAATACAGCCACAGTGATGCTGAGATGTTTTAAAACTCCGGAGCGCAGATGTCTGCAGTGGGGGTCGAACACGCTACTACCATTTCCAATAACACCAATATCTTTAGCGCTTCGACGTCTCATCTGTGTAAAAGCATCTACGGGTGAGTATGCCTTATTCGAGACATGCTCTAGTAAAGAACATCCAGCTCGACCGAATTCCTAATTATTAGTATCAACCTCGTGTTAGCTTATCAATGAAAATAGATCCCAGTTTATTGTGGTTTTGGGACACTGTTTTTTGAATTTAGCGGCTTTTTCTCCATTCGGCGAGAAATGAAGCCTTGAACGAAATTGGCGATGGTCTTATCCCGTAAAATTCTGAAAAACAGCGAGATCGGTTGAGGAAAACGTCCAATTTACTATGATGTGGTCTATTTCGCTATGGTACTCTCCACTGAGAAACTCCCACGTACAGCTTTGAGAGTTCTCCTTCTGAAATTGCGAGTTAGCATGAATAATTTTGTTCGTTATAGTGAACTCAGACAGCCGCTCTTCCTGTTCGTTTTATTTTAATCCACGGGTGCTAATGTGATCTTCAGACGTTTTTCTGGATCCAGTCTTAGCGTTAAAATCTTCAATGATGACCTTAAATAATGTGCAGTATTCTCCGCAGAACTTCTCCAAGTTCATATAGGACGCTACGACATCTTCTTCGTCATAGCTTGATGTCGGCGCGTAAACGAGGAAGATTATCAAAGCCGGTATTGATTCACATCTTCTTAATAGTATACGTCCGATTCTGGTTGTTAGTAGTTCAAATGAATCAATGTTCATAGAAAAACTCGTGTTGACGAGAACGCCGACGCCACCGACTCTTTGTCGCATGTTCCGAGAACAGTTCTCCTCTGTCATAGACGGCACTGAATGGGTAGCATCACCTCGTCTCAGATAATCTGATGACGTCTTGCCTTATCATTATTGCCTCTATTATCAAGTCCTTTACCTAGGACTTAGAAGCAAGTGAGGTTGCATTTTACGCACAGATCGTCACCTTACCTCTTCTCGATTTACGTGGCGTAGAATGGATCTGAGATTGTAGCAACCTTTCCGTCCTCGTGAGATAGAAGCAGTCATGGAAGCCTTTGTTGGTGAGGGAGTTACTACTCAGTATATAAAGACTCTTCGTAATGAGAAGAGCTGTACAAAAGTTCAAAAGCTTCACAACCAAGATATCACCACTCTACAACGATATTAACATCGACGCCAAAAGAGGGATTAGGCACGGCGATACTATCTCGCCAAAATTATTTACCGTCACCCTCCAGAACGTCATGCCAACATTGGAATGGAATAATATGGAAGTGAAAATCGATGGTCGCCAGTTACATCATCCTCGCTTTGCTGATGACAGCGCCCCTATAACACCAAACATTAGCCAAGCGGAGCGTATTCTTGCCAACTTTGATAGAGCTTGTGGGAAGATTGGGATGAGGAGAACCCACTGGACTACTCTTGCACGCGACGGGCAAGAATGTAAGATTTACTGAGCTCCTGCTCGAGTCACTTGAAACGGGAGTACAGGTGATACAGGAGACTCCACAGATTTATGTCACATAGAAGAAAATACACTGCTCTTGTAGTGCTTGTTTGGAATGAAGACATTAACTATAGAGTGAATCGTGGGTTTTAGGATTGCTCGCGATTTCCGCCATTACTTTGCGAATGAGCCATTGCTTTAGTAGAATGTTCTAATATCCTAATAGTGTTCTTAATTCTCCCAGTTTTCAGCAGGTTCTTCGTAAAACTTCACTGTAATCAGCTCCCAAGGTGAAAGGTGAAAGTTTGTGTTCAGATGTATATCCTCAAGTGACTGCGAAATATTTTCGCGCATAAATTCTCAGCACTGGACACAAAACCACGTGATGTAACTTCAACTTTGTGCAAATAATTTGTCAAAAATTTATTTTACTTCAACTCTTTTTCAAATCGAAGCTGATGCAGAAAAAAGTGCTCGACGCTGACCAATCCCTTCAGGAATTGTCACTGCATCCAGGTCCATTCAGCATCATTGCATGAACGAATGCATATTTGTAGCATAAAGTAACCCAAGTAGTTTACCGATGTATCACATGTTTTTTTGTCATTATAGACATCGTAGACATGTCTATCGCCAATTTCTCAATTTCAAGACGTTGTCCGGATTGGCTTACCCACTGTGTGGAATCGAACCATCGATACCATGTACAAAATACAGCACCTGTTACCAGGGCGCTACATGGTCCCTGAGAAACCGCTATATGAGAAAAAAGCCTTGACTATATTATAAGCTTGTACATTAATAAAACACCCTGCATTAGAACCATAAGGCTGCCGAAATATGACCAAAAATGCGGGATCTAAGTGGGTTTCAAATCCGCTACTACCCTAACCAGTGACTCACGTTCTATCCACCACACCACCCGAGACTCTTGCCTTGTCTTCCTCTCAGCCACACTTTCACTATATTGGTTCTATCAATAATCACTCATCAACGGGAACACCCTGGAGAGCACAAATCAGCAATGAACCCGTTATGCTGAAGCTGTAACAGAAAAAATGTCCTAACTTAACACTGCCTATTTAGTTTTCATAGAAGGTTACTATATGAAATAGAACACAAGGATGCTGATATATGAAAGAAAGGCAAGACGTTGGCCACAGTTGGTGGTGTTAAATAACACGTGAGAGCCCGGTAAAGGTTACCTCTGGATCGAAGCTCACCTGAGGTTCCGAATTTTGCTCAACTCTCAGCATCGTTGTGATTGTAGGCAACATCGCACCCTGCCATGAAAGCAGATTTGGTAGTAAATAAAAGTTGGGACAATACCCTATAATATTTATAGAGTTGTGTTATGCGTTCATGCAAAAACACTATGAAGAGAAAATAATTTATTACACGATTAAATGTCAGACTTGTACGAAATGGCAAACGTTGAAAACCCGTGTTTATGGCAAATGTACCCTTAGTTATGCTCTATGAAAACTAAAGAAAAATTAGACAAGTTGATGTCGCTCTGTGATCTGGAATAAATCCTCATCGCTCTTTCCATGCTTCTTCATCGGTGTTGAGAATGAAACATCTGGAACAAAAGCTTTTTAGAAACCTGTACTACTTAAACTCTTTTATTTGTAGTAAACTGCACAGGTGGACACAGCATGAGTTCCAGCCTCATTTATTTGATTTACTGCCTAGATTATGATAGCAAATCTATGGATAGAATAGTGAAACTTCTGTGCATTTGATTAACAAATCTTCTTCAACATCTTCTCAATGGGAAAATAAAATCAAGCTGAAGCATTGCATTGTCTGGGTATCGGACAGTGTATTTCGAAGTCGCGTAAGCATTTTGTCCTTTCAGGTAGCGAGAAAACCCAGTCCTTTGAAGCGCCAATTCGAAAAGCAGACATTTTTTAAAGCTTTGACGTGCCCAGATCGAGTTGATTTCTTCTATTCAGGTTACACTCTAGATGACATCGGTCAGGTTCTTTGTTGGTGGTATGGAAAATTCTCGACGTAGTTATCATCAGCGCTCTTCGCATCGACGTAACAAGACGTTAGAAAGGCCATCAATTCTAAAATTTTTAGAGGTATCAGTTGGCTGGTGAGTTTTCTGAGAAATTCTATGTGTCGCATGCCTTTCTCCTTCCCTTGCTTCATGTCATTTTCATCGTTTTTTTCGAAAGCCATGTAATGTGGCCTGCGAAATCGATCACTCGTCTGGATGGGCTATTATCCTTCGATTTTTTGCAGCTGTCGCAAAAGCTGTGACTTGTTAGGAATCACCATCAGTGCAAATGCTCTTTTCTCTTCCTTCGAGAGAAGATTGCCGATTACATTGGGGCGTTTGGGCCTCCCCACAGAGACTAATACTGTCGTGTCGGACCCCATTCCAAGGGTATAAAGAATCAAGGGAAGAGATGTATATCCATAATAAAGTTATGATAGTGGCAGTTAAGAGTCCGTATGTAGAGCATGCCCACTCCTTGCTCTTAATAGAATATTAATGGATGGTTCGTTTCAACGCCATGAAAGGCTCAAGGTCGACAAAGGTTAAAACAAAAGCCAAGTGATATTCACAAGACTCCAGTGATCATATTCTTGATGTGAATAACGGATCCTCATTCATCTCGGAATGCTATTACACAAGCAAAATTTTAGTAGTTACTACCAACATATTTATGATACTTTCTGCCAAGTATGCCATTATTGTTATGGTCACAGATGATAAGCATCACCACTGACTCTTTCTTTCGCCTTCGTTTCACCTTTGGTGTTAAGAATTCGTTGTTCTAGCTTTATTTTAGCTAAATGAGGAAGGTAGCTTTATATTAATCGACTGTTAACATCATGAGTTTTTGTATGAAAAAAAAAGTCCAGCGTGGCAGATACAAGGACTAAAATCTACAACGACTTGGTATTCATATTAAGTTAGGATCTCACCGCCGCAACAAGCATAGTAAGTCCAAGCAAATATCTTAAGAAACATACATCTTTGCCGGTTGGCATCGATCGTCTCATGAAGAGGAAGCACGAAAGCTTCGGTCAAGCGGCGAACCGGTGTTCGATGTGGCTAAATAGCATACATACGCCTACTTGGTCACGATACTTCGACAAAAACAGTACTGATATGTCAAAGTAATATTCTAGTACCAACTGGAAAGATATCCATTTCCTCTTCTCGGATTCAATAGAAGGGATAAACTTTTCTACTTTCTCCATTACTATAGAAGTTCTTAACGTTGGCTTCATTCTGATATTTAATGAGTTGTCCTACTATAAGTATGAACTAAGACTGTAACTATCAGCCCTTTCAAAAATGTTCTGAGACCTAGGTTTTAAAAGACATGGCGGAGAGGTGTGACCAATTATAACTGAATTTCAAAAAAAGCATCAATTTGGAAACATGCTGAAGAAGAATTTGGTATCTCATATAGGGGACCATTTGCATTGGAGCCTTACTGTGTTAGGGTCGTCCACTCCCTGGATGTCTGCCAGCTCGACAGCACTTCGATCGATGTCCCTTTCACCATCCTGCGAAATGTGGCGCGATTTACGACGAATGCTTCTCCACATTCCGAATCCACTTAATGAGCGCATCCTTGGCGACGCACCAACCTGTAACATTTGATTTTAGCCTCTGCGCATTGAAATGACCTTATCAATCGTAATTTTTAACTGGGTTAAATTTCTGCACACCAATCACCGGGATCTAAAGTTGGAATCGATGAGGAGAAATCAGAAGAAATCAGTCCAACTGATAAACCAACTAGACAAATCGGGCTAGTTTCCATCTTGCCCATGTTTTTCACTAGTTGGGAAATCAAACGCTTATTCCTTGAAGATCCTGTGGTTAATAATGGAGAGGAAGTGTTTCCCCGATGTCGGCACGTCGTTCGAGATCTCTTTCCTCTTTAGGGGTGTCTGTTTCTCAGAATCAAATTTAACTCTATTCTCGAATCTACCAGTTGCATTAGTTTCTATCTGAGAACACCAGAAACAGAAAACATTAACCAGCCTATCTAATGATTTCATTCTCTTCATTTTTCTAAACAGGATTCTACCAAAAAGTGTTGATGCTGTTCCCTTTAAGTGTTTGCCCATTTGTTTCTATTTCATCTGTTGATATCCTAATCCATTGATTATTTTGTTATTACATCATTCGAAGCCTCCATTGCTCGTTTATCTTCCTTCAGCTAACCCACAATAGAAGTAACGACGAAATTCGAATTAAGAGTGAACACAAAACTTCAGGCTTAATGGCTTTCCATGAAAATACACCAGTAACAAATCGCCCCTAAGCATAGGTATCTGAATATAGTACGGCTCATACGAAAATAGGTCGCAATCCTTCTAATAAAAAGTGGATGGTTCTGCTTGATATTGAAGAGGTAGTATTTTCTTTAACAAATAATAACGCTGTCTCAGGGAACAGAGAGCTACGAGTAATGAAAAAAGCAGTGTTACAGAACAGAAAGAAGGAAGTAAGCCACAGCTTTGCTAGAGCTTTATTCTGGTCAGCAGGCATATGGCATAGAGAGAGTGCTAGTCACACGTCTTTACGGCGGCAAGCATTCTTGCAATTAGACGATCAAGCGATCATGGACTATGTAATAAGTTAACTGTTAGCAATCACAATAGAACGAAACTCGTTAATTCATTATCACTTCAATGTGACTAAGTTGTCCTAAGATGGACAGCGGCGATGTGAAGTAAGGAGTTCGTTTCCTAGTAAGGCAGAGAAGTGCTGCGAGATTTGCAATCGGAAGCCTAGTTGTGAGCAAACTAAAGCCAAGTCTTACCGCAGTCCTGGTGGAAATCAAGAGGTAGTGTAGCTAACTTTTCTTAATGAACAAGTTTTGACGAATGGCCGTAGTTATGATATAGTAATATGATAAACCATGAGACCCCAAAACAAAAAGAAACATTGTTTAACGAGATAAAAGGATTTAAATTTGTTTTTCTTCCATCCGAGTAAATAACTAAAAACTTAATCATTTCAAGCAGCATTTTGCAATTAAACCAAAAACATCGCAGATTAACTTAATGGAGTTTCAATTAATTAAAAAATAAAGGATAAAGCTCTTGGCGTCGATCAATTCCTTATGTATGCACCGTGCATTCGACTTCATCAAGCATCGTTTGGAGGTGACTGAATGCATATATGGCCCTTACAATGGCTCGCGGTGGTCTGCCGATATATCGAACCAGTGCTGCTATCCTCCAAGACAAGTCTAGTACCAATTTGCCGACCCCGGAGGGATGGAAGGCTTGGTGGACTATGGGCGCGGGAATCGATCCCATGTGTATAGCAGGACCCCTCCGACCACTGCGCCACACGCGCCATAGTTTGAATTAATTAGAAATCATAAACGATGAAAGTAGACCTTATTTAGTGGTACACTCGGACTTTTTGTTACACGACTACTGGATGGTTGTTGGGCCGGATCAGTTTCCTCATCTTCAGTGTCTTCCAAGATTGTTCCCTCATCGGTTGCCTACAAAACAAATTTTATAAGGAATTGCATACCTCTTATACTACTCTGCAACATTTGTAAACCAACCAAACAAAATCACGTAAAAGGTTGAGAACAACTCTCTTTTCCTCTCTGTAACACTTATCGCCTCTATCCTTCCTCTCTTGATTTCAACAGATGATCTGCTCGAGAAGAAAAAAAAGGAAAAATGGAGCCCTTAAAATTATACAACGGTTGAAATCCCGCTAGTTATCTAGTACCTCGAGTGGCATTCGTTCCTTCCGAGCGTCAGAGCAACCCGACTTGAGTTGTAAGAAAACACTTTTTTGGTACGTTGCATTTTATTCCTACGGTTTTCCACTAGAAGTTACTAGTTGTTCCCTTTTTTTCTCTTTTTTTCTTTTTTCTGTTCTCTTTTCTTCACTTGTTTTGTCGCCTTCTCTACACAGCAGGAAATAGACAAATGCTTCGAATTATTGAACGAGCAGTCTGAGTACATTAAGTTCACCCGGGAGAAACCGTGAAAAAAGCTGGCTTCCGTTTTTAAACGTTCAAATAAACCTATCAAGTAGCGGTTACTTTACAAAGTGGTACCGAAAGCCAAGTAACAAGAATATCCTCCTTCATTTCCTTTCTTCTCACCCTTCAGACACAAAGAGGGCGCTTGCGAGAAACATGTTTCGAACAGCCACCTCTGTGTGCATAACCAGGAACTAAAGGAAGGTTCGTGCAACTTAGCTCGAGAAATAGCCATCTCCAATGGCTACGAAATAGTAACCCCACGAGATAAGTTTAGAAGGAGAACGACGTCCCAAAAAGAAGGGTTTGGCCGAAACAAAATCCCGCTTATTTTGCCCTTCATTAGCGATGAAATAAGTGTAGCGATAAAGCGATGCTTAAGAAGGGCAGATCTAGAGGAATCGGTAGCGATAGTTGAAATACCACCGGATACTCTACGTCGTCAGTTAGTTCGTAACCGCCTGTATGCCCGTCTATGTGAAACAACAAATTGCGTAATTTGCCCTTGCGGCAAAGACGGTGACAGCATGAGTTCAGGTACGATATACCTGATTCCTTGTAGTACTTATGGAGACGGATATATCGGCGAAACGGACAGACTTTTATGTATCAGCATAAGAGGAACACCTAGATGGCAAACGAAAATCAAAACAAGGCACGCCACTAGGCACGCATAGGATACAAAAACGTAGCGGAGAAGATTTTGATGTAAAAGTCGCTATCATCGCACGGAAGACTAAAACACTAACGCTCAAATTTCTCGAGGATTTTTGGATAAATTCCAAAAGTTTGAGAATGAATAGCAGGGAACAATGCTCTGAGATAACGCGGGATCTAGCCCCGTATCTCAGACCTGATTTTTGATGTGGGGTGGTGCAGTAATCAACCAAATGCGACTCTAAGCGGGTCCTTCGTTTCGCCTGCCTCTCAACTAGTTCTATTGATCGGCGCCATTAGCAATCACCCGTCAACGGGACTGATCTAGGGAGCCCAAATAGACAACGAGCCTAGTTAAGCTGAGGCTTAAGTCGAAATCACGATCTTAACCTTTTTATTTACTGACTATTACAATTTTTTACGGCAGAGTATCATGATCCTGTAATTATTACTCAAATTTTCAACTTTCTCTGTGCTACTGAAGCATTTGACCTAGTAAATTACATATTAATGTACCCTTCCAGGCTCTGAAGAAGGTGATACCGCCGAAACGTCACCTACTGTTGTGTTGTATGTATATTTGTAAGGAAGTAAAGTTGTGCTGAATAACAACCTTGCGATTGCTCTAAAAAAAAGAGGACAACAAATTTATAATCCAATGCCGAAGTTAATAGAAAGTCGACCTTAGGAACTGATAAAAGAAGTTGCTAGGTTTACCTATGGAATGATCTACTGTTGAGACGCACAGCAAGGGCAGCATTCACTCTGCCTCAGGTTGGAAAGTAATTCCACGAATCCGTCCATAAGCTCTATTAAGAGTAACCTACCTAGCGGAAGAGCATGATGAAACTGTTTTTTAACAAAAGTAATAATAACACCTAGCAGCAGAGCTTGGTGAGCTTTCTAGCAAAAACAGCAATAATAAAGGACTTCATACTAGACGTGTGGTATGAACTGTACCGATCAATCGAATAGAATCTATTAACGTACGACGGACAAAAGAAAACTTAAGCCGTCCACTAGAGGTGTAGCTGATTTCTATACACGGTAACCGGAAAGTATGTGCGCATCGTTGACGATTCTCTTAACTACATTGTGTGAATTAGCAATCCATTCCACTTTACTACGAAGGATTACACTTTTTAGTGTAACTCCTACACACATTCAAACCCTGTAACACTTAGATACTTCGAAGACCAGTCTTCATATGTCGTGCTGATTCCAGCGGTTACTCGATTCGTGTCGTTGCCTTCAGCCGTGATGGGTGGAGATGATCGAGTTTGTTTGTGGATTCGGTTTGATGATCTGTTCACTTTTCTCCTCATTGATATGCTGAGTGCGCTGAGCGAAATTTCCCTCGGAAATCGGAGATAGGCCTTATCAGACGATTATTACGGGCAATTACACCTTCATGGAACCGAGAAATGTTTGCTACTTTTCGAGTCGGTTTTGTTCAAGATAATAGCGGTTCCACGGATTGCAATGAATCCTGCGACTAGTCAACCGATCGTCCGAGGATGAAGACGTTGTAAGAAACCGAATCATTCATTGTAACAAGGCTGGAAACTAAACTAGAGCTCCGCACAAGATTACCCGGTTGTACGAAAAGCAAAATGTTGATCCGAAAATGACGCAGCTCATTACAGTGGAGCTAAAGCGATTGTCCTGTATTTGATGTCGAAGCGTATTATCATGATTAATGGCCTTTAGAAGTTTGGATTGGAAGCCGGTAATTTTCTTTTAAGAGAATTCCAGTGGAGTGGAAAGCAAACTGTTGATTTAAATCACCCATGTTCATCTGATGTGGTCAAAAATTGATAGCAACTATATGTGCCGCACGTAGAATCCTTAGAGTCGAGAGTATAGCCTTGTGTCAAATGCACTTGGATACTTGGATGGTCCATCCTCACTGGTTGTCCGGGCTCCAGCATAATTTCCATTTTTCGGAGACTTGCTAGTTTAGCCATTGTAGTTCACTAGAATCCCGAGGACAACCTGGCCAAAGTCTGCCCCAGGTCGCCGCCGACTAGTTTGATACCAGGACGATGGTGGGTCCTAGTATTGGTTTGCTCTTTGCTAGGCTTCCTCATGGAAATGCCGGACCCCACCCCCTCTAGTGGAATGAATCACGCGATTCATCGCGGCCGGACACCCAAGAACACCTTCTAGCTACGACGAGGCAGTAAACCGTTGGAAGGATGTCAAATCTAAGGGAAATTATGTCCAACTATTCATGCAGACTTTATCCTTTAGGCTATCGCTGGATTGTAAAAGTGACAAAACTCAAAAAATAAGGTGTTTAAAGCAGAAAATAGAATCCTTCAAGAGATCTATTTTCTCGGCCATGTATATAACTTAATTTCATCTGTCTAAATTCGTTCCCTAAACAAACGACTCTGTTGATATTCCTTACCTTTACAATTTTTCAGTCTGTTAGGTACAAATGGCTCTTAAGAATCGTCGCGTATTTCTAAAACAGACCTTGATAAGCGTCTGCTTCCGCATGCTCTGTAACCGATCCCTGCGCAGTGGCGCCAAAGCGGTTGAGGAGTCCGCGTGTGTTTCGGTAACCGTTGGAGTGTAAGATCTTGAAAGATCTAACGGCCGAGTAGAGAGATCATCTTTGAGTTGTGTTAATTCAATTTGACACCTGCAACATTTGCAAATTCGACAACTTCATGATATTCTGTAAATGCTCAGTCAGGCTTGAAATATAAGAAAAAGTGGTTTCGTGCTAAAAGCACAAGTTATAAAACTCATCGGAAATCGGACTAAAACAAAAAATCATGTAGGCTTAGTAACAGATGGATGGGTAGTAACAAGAAGACTTTCACCTTTGAGTTCAGTACAAATTTAGTTCTACTGTGCCAATTCTATGACCTAGAAAATGACAAAGTGGAATTCCCACCTATTGAGTAAGACACCGATTGGCAATGTGTTGTAGTTATTAGACTGCATGTTTTCAAGAATTTCCGCCTGCCACGTCGCATCCTGCTCACTCAACGCCTTTTGCTTTACCTGTAACTTGAGACACTGAATTTTCGCGAACTTGGTAACAGAAATCTTTTTCAGGACGAAGAAAGAATCGGAAAAAATATCAAACAAACTCGATTCTGAATTACTGGCAGGATAAGGAGTGCAATAGGTAATTCAGCATGAAGTAGAAAATCGACAAACTGAACAGCACATTGACCGCCTTGCTTTTTAGCGATGAGATCTGAAAACTGGTAGAGGAGTCGTTTTATTCATTCATTTCGATAATCACTCACAGAACCAAACTTATTTGATGGTTTCAAATTCTTCTAAACAAACTCGAAAAGAAAAATTGAACAGGAAAAAAATACTTATGGTAAGAAAAAAGGAACCTTTGACAAGGCGAGCAACTCGAGGCCACATCGGAGTGAGAAGTTTTCCAAAACAAAGCATCATGACCTTTAAGGCTGAAAGCGACAACGACTGAATTTCTCGACGCTTAATTTATTTCCACTAATCTTTGATCACTGAAACTTTGCAGAGCACGATTATTCTCTTTCCGGTTGATAAATTACTTATCAGAACCGCCCACTATGTCAGCAAGGTTTCTATCCTCATGAAAATCACAACTGTATTTGAATGCTTAACTTCTGTTTACTGAATGTTATTTTTCCCAGCAGGATATTCTGTGAAATACACCCACAATGAGGCTGAAGTATTTGCAAAACTAAAAAATCAGCCCAATTTCGAACCCGCTACTACTCTTTCCGGAGTTCACGTTTTACCTACTACACCATCGACGCCCTTGCTTTGTCTTTCTCTCAGTAGTTCTATGAGACGGTGTTACCAACAGACATCAATCAACAGGTCAACAGACGTGATCTGTGGAGCACGAATCGTCACTGATCCCATTTAAGTTGAAAGCTGCAGTCGAAATCATAATGTAAGTGAAAATCACGACATAATCATAAATTGGCCGAGAAGAGGGTCAAGAAAGGATGCTGGTGCAATGGATAGCATGTGAGACCCACGGAGAGGGTAACCGCCGATTCGAAGTTGGCCGGGGCCCGAGTTTTACAGATGTCTCGGCCCCATTATGCTTATGCATGAATGTGTTTACAGATTGCCGTGCACAATGCAGCCAAAAATTTTCTGTGAAGTATAAATAGCAAAAATTACGCCTTTGGTAGAAGCTGAAAAGATGATGGCTAGCTACAGATTTGAATCAAGTATGTTTTTTCCCAAATAAACGACCTCTTGGGAAAAATAACTAGGCGTCTTCCACTCCACTCCACTTATCCAATATTGGCCAGAACAAAAAAATTCTCCAAAAGAAAATCATGCTCCTTTAATAGAAAGTTTTTGCTCTGAATAGTATGAAAACAGTCTTCAAATTACAATGATGCTGAGATATTTGCGAAACTCGAATCCCCGAGCAAGCCTTCGAATTTTTTCGGACATTTACGACTTAAAATGTCGTAGGACTGAGGAAACAGATTTCACAAGAAGTATGTTCGTCGAATAGTGTTCTGGTATCACTTTGAACAAAACTCTCGCTTTTAAGCAAATCTATTAAAATCCCAAGAAATTTCGTCCGGTCGGCCAACTAATTCTGATGCTTTTGGACACAATTTATCCTAAAAAAAAAGAACCATACCTAAGTAGATGCACTGGGATACACTATCTCTTACGATGCGAAGAGACGAAACGGTGGCAGAATGTCCACGATCGGTAACCGACACAGAACCTTGTCGTCCAGAGAGATCTAACAATACGTAAGTCAAAACGCTTTTTTGAAAAATGGGCAACAATGTAGAAATGTGCAAGCCGAAGATCAGTTTCAGCGTTTAAAAAGCACTTATTACTAGAAATAATTAAATTCCTCTAAGAGTCATAACTAATCTGATTCTGACCTCATAACTTCACATCGTGGCACTTTTTGGTTAGGGTAACTAGTTCACAATATGGTAGAGTTTTCAATATTTAGCCAAAAGTGAGCGATCCTTCAAATTAGAGTGTACTAACCGTGTTGAGCACTTCGAATGAACGTGGTGGCCAGTGTAGAAGTGCTAGCCAATGGAAGCGTATTATGTTTTCCAATCGGTGGTGTGATAGCGTGTTGCATCAGTGATAAACAGTAGACGAGGTCTTTCCCTTGTATTACTGATGCTTCTGTAACGAGAAAGCTAATACGATTGTCATATTTCGCCCAATTCTAGTGACAAGGCGGAGAAAACGCAATGTTAGAGATATGTAGCAATATCCTCACTACACCCACTGGTTCGGCTTCGCTGTAGCTCACCCAAGCTCCCGACCCTTCCGGTGGCGTCAAATTCATGTCATACTTCTCTAGCAAAAGCTCTTTTTGATTCAGATTGCACGACATTACTGTTTGAGACAAAAACCTGGAGATGCACTGGAAGAGCTGTCTCAGGCTTCCAAAGATTCAAAGAGCAATCTCATTTGTACTTAACAACTTCAATAAAAAAGGAAATATGGAATATAAAATATGACCTCTCCGTGACTAAAGTAAAGCTCCTAAAATACCCCTTCCCGTAAGAAATTTCGAAATGATTGTTAACAATGATTTGTAGCAGATACTAAAGTGCTGTTTGAAAGTGGACGGAAAGAAATCAAGCAATTAATCGGCGATGCAGATAAAATAAGGTTATGGACTTGCTTTCTATTCTGCACCAAACTGACTTATACCTTTCGCAGAAACAATCATTTTCATGTTTCTGTGCGTGGGTGTACTTACTTTTATGCGAATAGTACCACGTATACCGATTTCTTCGAAAGTTTGAAGTGACTATAGAGCAGATCAGAGGCGATTCAGAGCCGCCTCTGACAAGTAAGTCTCAACTGAACTTCGGATTAGCCCGAAAATCTAGCTGCGCATGTGCTAGCCCCAAAACTGTACTCTTCGTCGGTTTGAGTACAATGAACACTTTTGATGTGATCTGTTCCGGCCTTGCGATAATAAGTGTTATTAGAGATAAACTCAGTTTAGAATGCCATATAATTCGCATTTCTCCGTTTTTTTCAAAGCGAAACAGTCTATATCATCGTTAATGTGAACTTTAATTGATGAAAAAAGCGAACCCTTTGGATGAGCTGCAGTACGAAGAAAAAGTGGAATGAGTAAGTGACACAACACTGCCTCTATGCGATCGGCAGCTCCTCCTAATCCCTCTGCACCGGAAACCATTTCTAATGAAAACGATGCCTAAATTATTATATTTATTCGTTCACCAATTTAATTCCTGTGAAGGCTAAACCGACGGTACACGAGAAGACAAAACGGGGCGAATCATATGTGTTTATGAATCCAGACAGTAATTTCACCTCACGTTGAGCAGTGAGTACAAGAAACATTGGACACAATGTCGAGCCTTCCATGAATGCCTCGAGTTGCCATGATAATTTAAAGACGTATGTTCGATTTTTTGTAGTTTGTTTCATTCTTCTTTCATTTACTCACTCTCGAACAAATTATTGTTAAAACATCACTGCTGAACAAAAACAAGCTTACATGTCCTAAAGCTTGCATAAGAATGGTAGTCATGCGTAGCACAGCATTGCAGAACGATGGTGGTGGCGGATTCGCATGGAGCACAGTAGCTGGATGAGATGACGGAGCACCTTCTTCGTGGAACGAATCGCCGGCAATGATTCGAAGACAAAGTTGGGTGATGGACTGAAAGCTAACATGTTGTCAACGATCACATTGCATGAATCTGTCAGTATGTAACAGCAGGAAAAACTCTGTGGTCATCTTCACAAGACCCCCTTATAGTGAACCATTCCAGTATTGTGGTTTTGGAAGAATGACAACTAGTTCACAACACTACGACAGACAGATTTTTTCAATCAGAGTATCAGGTGATCACCAGGCGACTGCTTAAACCTGCCCGCACCCATTTATTTTGCCTCTTCGGTCTCTTATCAGAAACTAAAGAGCGAGATCTTACGGCAAATCCAAAGTCGAGTCTATTGGTCTTAACTGCTTTTCGTGTGGGATTACTTAAACTTAATCGAACTAAAGTCCCATGTGGTGCCGTGCGTTCACACGTCAACCCCCGGAAAGGGTAATCGCAGTTCGATCTGGCCTGGATTCGACGTTTTGCAAATATCTCAGCATCACTGTGTTTCTATTTCACATAAGACCTGCCGTAAAAGAATAATGGGCATTAGATAAAATTTATATAAGGTCACATTATTTTCAAATCCTGCCATTCAATATTTTGTAACCATCAGTCATACATTGCCGTTCTTACGGTGGCGCAATGCTACTACTACAAATGTTGGAAAATGCTAGCACATATCTAAGTGCCTTCTTATTGTGCAGACTTGTTTTCTACTAATTTAGCAACTGTAATGACGATTAAAAAAAGCAGAATTAAAAATAGACCCTGAGAACCTTTAGAGGATTCAGATGTGCCATGTAAGGAAAAGAGGACAATGTGTCACAGATGCCTTTGATCCAATTGGCCAATGCCATCCAGTTCACTCGACGTCGAATACTCTGCTTTTTTGCGATCTTGGCAATGGTTTTATCCAGTCGTTTCAGGATTATCCCTAACGCAGAACGATTCGACTCGATCGACCAGTCAGTGACCGGCATTATGGAGGTGAAATACCTGAACGAGTGCAAACTTCCAAGGTAAAAATCAGGTAGTCAAAAAATACAAAAGCGTATCCAAACACTCTTCTCTAAAAAAACAGTGATTAACTTTTAAACATATTTTTAAAATGCTATTGGTGACTCAATTCTCTTGTCAATGTTAAATGACACTAAATTGTGCTTCCAGGCAACACTTCTGTTTCTAAAATCATTAGAACATGGCTAAATACAGAGCAAACATTTGTAGATTAAAGGGTGCTTAAAATCCTAACAAGACCCTACAGGATAATTCAAATAGTTCAAGTGACTCAATGCTTTGACGAGTTTGAGCAATTTATTCGTTCCTCGCCGCTACATCGCTTGACTAAAAGGTAAGAAGGTACGACGTCATCTACATTATCTACCGTGCTAGTTCTTAATTACTGGTAATATTTAGATTGTTGTAGTTATAGACCATCATAAAACTGACTTTTGCAATCCAGCACATGACATGGTGGCTTGGTCATATGCTGCGATTTTCAGCAACGCCAAGGCGATTTCACTCAACTTCACATGACATTTGTGATCCATCACCTCAGGAATCTTCGTATGTTCACTAGCCGAACTGAGCTTTGCAAGCTCCTTAAGCCTGAATCCAACACTTTATAGCATGAAACTAGTATTCCAATAATAAAAGAAAAACTTTTAAAGACTCTACCTTGGTGTAGCCATTTCTATAAACTGAGCCGTCAAAGATAACAACGTGTCTCTGGAACGACGATAGTTCTCTTTATGAGTTTCTTCAACTTCGGTCACCTCCCAACCGACCGCCACTGACTTCTTCTCCTTCCTACAAAAATGATTCCACAGGTAACAAGCAGTTTGACTTACATAGACGAGCGTATAAACATATTTCAAAAGGAAATCCTAAGAAAATAAGCCGTACGCATGATGTGGACGGATGTTCTCGTCTTCGTTAGTTGTTGGTGGGTCGAAAAATTGTGGTGAATCGGCAGCAAACGATTTACCCCGGTCAGACACCGAATTGACCAAGTCGAAGGTCCGTTGTGGTCCTCTGAAGATCATTTTAAGTTATTTTATTGCTCACTTTGACCACATCACGAATTCCATCACTTCATTATTCTCTACAGTTTAAAATGTTATCATAATGGGTTCTGTCTTTCTTTCTATTATCCCATCACATTTTAGTCCGGTCCTCTCATCGGCCTTACATTGTCGCTCCGCTTTTCCATTTCTTTATGCACCAAAGCAGGAGCAGAGAAGTTGAGCGGAGGTTAGTGATTCAATCCACCAGGAAGCAAGTCGCTCGCTCCACCCCTTCCAGAACGCTCTCCTCCAATCCACGCAGGAACGCCTTACCTCTCATGTCCACAAGATTTCAAGGAAAATCAACTCGAAAAGCCCTCTACGACAATTCATAAAGAAGATGGAAATTCCTCAAGCAGTGGTTGACTGTGCAGGGGAATACGAAAACCGTGTTCGACGATTGATGAGCGACAACAAACCAAATGAACGGACTTTTATAAGTGCTGGGATCCGCACATTATGTACTAACGAGTTGCGTAGAAAAAAGATTGCGAGTAGTACTTCCGTAAGTCAGCAATTTTCTATAAGATTGAGCTGACACGAGATTGGTTTAAAAAATTTTATTCGGCTAACGTTTCGATACCTTCAGAGCCACGTCGATCAGAGTCATTAGATCAGCATTCGTGTTCCATGAACGGGCACCTGCGATGTACTCCCACCATTGGATACGACTCGATGCGAGAACGATTATCTGTGGGAACATCGACTCAGATCAGCGAGGGTCTGATGAACTCGAAGGTGCCGAAAAGTTAGCCGAATAAAAGATTTTTTATCGCAACTTCGTCTCAGCTCCATCTAATAAAAAATTATTGATTATTTTTGAGAAGAATAATGAAAGGCGGTTCCTTAGATACTTCTATATGCCGCCGATACGTCTTCTGGCAAATTTTTCATGGTCTCCCCAAAGTTCTTCCATAAATACACCATAGATCAAAAACGGCTTTGACAGGACGTTCTTGCCCTTCGAGCCGAATACCACTGCATCCAATTCGGGGTAGTGGTAGCTCGAATGCAGTGTCCCCACTCGGCAGCGGCCTTTTACACAACACGGTTGTTGATCTACTGCTATCCAATATGATCTCATGATCTGCGTTCATTTGACAATGCAAACTGCATAAGTCGATGTTATATATATATATATATATATATATATATATATATAACATACATATGTATGTATACACATATAACATATATATATATATATATATATATATGTATACAAGGTAGAAAAAGTGCCAATCATAAGTGGTGCAGTGCATCAGGAAGCAAGGCACTGGTTCGTCCCTTTCACCAACCCTCTCCTCCATGGTAGATTAGAATGAGAATCGACTCAGCAGGCAATCCGCGACATTCGTAAAAGAAGATGAAAGCCTCATGTAGCAGCCAAAACAATATGCGGTATGTTAACTTTTTTATTTACTACCTACTCCAATTTTTCATGGCACCTTATTATGTGAAACACAAGCACAATGATGTTGAGATATTCGCAGAACTATGGACCGGAGGTGTCTGCGGTGTGGATCAAACCCTCTATTACCCTTTCCAGGGCCAACATGTTCACCACCATACTATGCGTGTTCTTCGCTTCGTCTTTCTCTCAGCCGTGTTTTTTATCGATCAGTGCCGTCAGCAATCACTCATCAGCGGGAATGACCGGTACTGAACCAAGTTAAGGTAGAGTTGTGTTCTCATATTTTCAACGAGCAAGTGTTACGAGCGAGACGCCTGTGACGTAGTGGTTAGAGTTGCACTGCAAGATACACTGGTTCAAGCCGTCGAGCGGGCTCACCATGCCTTATGTAGATTCAGGGTAGGTAAATTGATAGTATACTTCTTTGGTAAGATAAAAACACTGATTTGACACATGGCTAAGCCATAGCAAGTCATTGCATTGCCCAGATACTACACACTATACTTGATGAAGTCGAATGAATGGCGTATGCCGCTATTGTTACCAGCAGCGTGTCCTACCAGTCCATGATCTAGAATTTCGGTTCCACTGTCCATCTTTTGCGTTCTCAAGCACTCTGCTCACTGGGTTAAAAATGTTTTCAATGTTCCTTTTATTTTTCCTGCCTATTTTTTCAGCCATTTTCCTCAAATTCTCACTCCAAAGACTGATATTATGCAGTTAAAGCGTAGAAAACCTGGCTAGGACGTCACAGCTGTTGATGAGAGCCTTCATTTCTACACACATCGTCGTCCATTGGGATACTTCATGTTTCACAGCTGTCGGTGAGTTGTTCTGAAGCATCGTCTCCTCCTCTATTCGACGAATCAGATGCGGTTGCAGTGCGGCCATCACAAGCTGAAAGAAATGCTCCTCTGGTAATGAAAGATGAGAGAAAGGATAAACGGAAGAACAGGATAAAGGTAAAGAAAAAGGAAGAAGAGTAAATACTCAATTCCTTTCTTTTAATAAGGCACTGGGTATCTGTCCATTTCTTCCGAAATAGTTAAAAATGCTTGATTTGAAAGACAAGTTGTTGTAGGAATTCATGTTATGAAACATTGGACTAAATCGAATGCCCGAAAATGTAAAAAGTGAGAAAGATTTCAGCAAAAAAGCTGGTGAAAACAAGCAAAAAAAGTTATGAGTTTCTGATATAAAACGATGAAGGATAAAGCTCTCCGCTTTGATCAATCCCTGAAGGATGCACCATGCATTCGACTTCACTAAGCATCGTTTGGAGGTGATTGAATGCATATCTAACCTTTACAATGATTCGCAGTGCACTACCGATTTACCGAGCTAGTGCTGCTATCTTCCCAGGCAAATCTGGTACCAATTTGCCGACCCCGGAGAGATGGAAAGCTTGATGGACCATGGGCGCGAGGATCGATTCCACGTGTGCATTGCAAGGCGCCTCCGACTACTGAGCCACACGCGCCTTTTCCTTATATACTCAACGGTTATTTGGAATAAAAAAATACCAGAAAGGTATGGCCACTATTGGAAGTGACTGAATTTTGAAGGACTTGTATTGAAAGTAAATTTAAAAAGTAAAAAGTCGGAGCAGTAGGAATTGTGGTGCATGGTGGTTGCAAAACAGGACGCGGGTAGCGCACTGATCAGTGATACAATACGGTACACAGATGATCGTTGGTTCGAACCTTCTCCAGGTTGGGCAAATTGTTACCATTCTTGTTTGAGGGAATAAAAACGCTGACATGTCACATATGTGAACCTGCGCAATTCAGTCTTTCGGTAAAAGTGTGAAAATAAGGAACACTATAAGAAAGACGTGATGCTCTTCGTATGAACGGATAGTTAATAATATAATGGATAGTTGAGGCGGGCGACAGTAATTAGCGCAAGTTGGTGATGTTCGCTTGAGCCAGTTAATGATTTCAGGAGTACAAATGAGTCGGGAGATCACTAGCAGCAAACGATAGAAGGTTAAGTGAGTGGAGTAGTTATTAATGAAATGCTAAAGTAATGGTGGGTTATCGTTATATTTTTTATTATGAAAATCTCTGACCAGCATGTGATGACTGCGCCTACTCTCTGGAGCGAATGCACACACGCAGATACAGCTGGCGATGGCGTCTGTCAATAGACAGAAGGTGTTCGGATCATCGCGATAACAGAGATCGAGTGCCTAAAGTTTTCGCCAATCACTAAAAGAAACAAAGAAAGCATTTTCACCATTCAAAGAGCTTTACTTGAAGAGTATACCAATAGACTTTTACGTGTATTCCCCACTCAAATTTCGTTGAGAGTTAAATTCGATAAGCCTTGACATAGTATTCTTAACACATTGAAAACAATGTGAACCAACGGTGGTTCACCGATGTTTTTTATTGTAGTTACAAAAAATCCATTTCGGCAGGCTCTTCCAAGCTGAAAACCAGTTCACTGCTTCAAACAAGAAGTGCAGTTGGAAGGAAACCAGTGCCGGAAATTACTGTCGTCGTCCTAGCAACATAGCCATTATCTAGTTGAACTCCATAAAAGAAAACTAACACAGTTTCTTCCAGCCTGTGAAAAGCGATATTACCGAGCCAGAAAACCAGTAGTGAAATGGGAATTGTGCTGCTCGATTCCTCGTGATTTGTAAAAATTATAGCAACTATCACCGGAATAGTTACTATTTCTTTCTATTACAGCATGTTTCTGTAGTAAGGATCAGATCTACTGTTCCTCAAGTTGCCTGACAAATGTCGTAGTACGTAAATATTTTGATCCCATCCTAAGGAACTTGGTATAGAGAATTCCTCTATCAAAATTCTCTATCTACCTAGCAGACATTCAATGGATCGATGGAGACGGCCTTTGCCACAACACCACTAGACACAGCATCATGCGACACCACCGGTCATGCTGCTGAGTACGTCTCATTGCTTGGGGAATGGACACCGCGACCCGGACCTTGACCCTCGCTTGGACGTAGCCACGCCCGGACGAGCACCGCCTCTTTTTGGGGACTTGGGAGGGGCCTTTTTGGGAGAGTCTTACGTTCGACTTGATTGCCTTATTCTTACGCCAGTATTGCTTCATCGTTATTCCTGTTGTATTGGTTTTTGCCTTTATGTATATAAAGATTTAATCCGAAGTTTTAGTGTCGAAAGCTGTTGTCCTGCGTCAACTACGAAAAGTCCAGCGTGGCGACCTATCACGAAGTCGAGCATTCTGTTTAAAGCTAGTGGTTATTCGGTGTCTAACTCGGAGGCCTATATTCCGCTAGTAACTGCGATAAAAATTAACGTTCCAAATAACAAATAGGAAATATCTTCAGAATGCTATCAGTGATTAGTCAGTTAGCAAGCATCCTGTAGAAAAGAGCACTACTAAGTGATGTTACTTCAATCGTGCGGTGCCTTACTCCACTGGACTCTACTTGGTGCGATGAAGGAGACTTACATCGCAAAAATGAACGCCCGCAAACGTCTGACTCGAAGTATTACTACTTTAAAAAAAAACGTCGAAACGTAAATCAGAATAAAATTTCACAACGACCTCATGTAAGCTCATGAAAAAAACAAAATATCCCACAAGTGATTTGTTGATGAGAAGGTGGATAGCACAGTGGTAGTTATGTCTGCCATCAAGAGCATGGTATTAGTGCGATTCCGCTCCCTGCCAACGAAGCCTCTCATTCTTCCCTGGTCGGAAAATCGGTACCGAACTTGTCTGGGAAAAAATAAATCACTCCATGCAATCCATTTGGAACACTCCAGCCCGACTATCTCAGGACTCCAGGAAGAATTACTCGACCAGAATTCTACGACATTCAAAATGAAATAAAAATCCTCAAGCAGCAACCGACGCCACACGTAAAGTGGAAGATCTTCGTGGACAATAGATATGAGGAAACGAATTGAATGCGAGAACTGCTGGGATCTACACAGTAGACGTGAAAGCGGGTCATATAAAATAAAGTTTAAAAAATTCGTCGATAAGAACTCCGCCAGTTACGTTTTAACTGCTCAGGCAACTTTTGCACACGCACAGATCGTCCTTCAGCAGCTTTGTTGCCGTCGTGGAAGGATTCCATAACAATCGAAAACGGTGGAAAAACAATCCCACAGTTGCTTCTAGGTTTCGTGAAAAATTACAGAAGATCAGCATTCAATACGGCAACATGGATAGAAGACGAGGTTCCTCAAACAGCCCATCCGTTGACGTCTTCACTTCTAGCGATGACAGTGACAATTACAAAGCAGTGAAATGAGTGGAAAACTGATGGGACTACAGGAAATGTAAAGATGTGCCAAAAATTCCTACATAAAAAAATTAAACTCCACTAACGTCCTTCTCCTTTAAAACTATCCAGAAAAATTGTATATATGATTGAGCTGACACGAGGCTGGTATTGACACTTCTGTTGGGCTGAAGTTTCGACGGCATCGCCTTCTCCCTTCTGTCCAGAAAAAAATATACAAAGCGCGTCTCATTAGGAGGTAGATAGAGAATTACACTGGGACCAACGCCACTAATGCTTTTGTAGATACTATGATTCAGGTTTCTATCACAGTAATACAGGAATGAAGTTGTACCATTCCTAGTTTGATTAACGTGGGCATGCTTGAGTGTACACATGTTATTTCCAACCATCAAGGCGGCTCGTGTAAAAGTATGTGAGTGGGAAGTACATGCGAAGTAGAGTAGTATTCAATTAGTACGTTCCAAGCCTACTCCAGAAGAGCACGTGAAGGTGCCTGTGCGTATACTCATCCTTTCAGGCACAGCCTTGTAGGATACCTATGAATATTCACTAGATAAAAATATGAAAAACAAAAGGTATCATACAACAATTTCAGTACTTCCAGTGTTTTCTGAGTGAGAGTATTAAATTGGGTAAAGCAGTAAAAACAAAGGGCATGAATCAACACGCTCAACGGTTCCAATGCCTTATGAGTGGGAAAAATAAATTGGGCACACTTGGCTCGTGACAAAGATTAGCAAGAAAGGGTTACCCCTCCTCTACTATAAAGTTTCGGAAAATTTTCGTAACTAATTCTTCGTATTCCTGTTGAGCAAACGTGAGGTGTTATTTTTATTCTTTATTCACGAATAAGCTGACGTTTCGGTGGATTTCGCCTTCCTCAGAGCCTGGAAAGGTCAAGTTGACAGCAATCTATTCGGCCAAACACCCCCATAACCAAACAAAGAAAACACTAAACCAAGATTTCAATCACATTGAACACGGCTTTGCACATTCACCGCTTTCTATAAGGCTTCCATTGAGTATGTCGCGCGAAGACCAACCGCACAGAATTCACATGGAAACGTAATGTGAATAAAGAATAAAAATAACACCTTGCACTTGCTTAACAAGAATACGAAGAATTACTTGACCAATGCCGAGGTTAATAGAAAGTCGGTCGTGGGAGTTTCGAAACTAATTTCCATCTCATGTTCTGTGAGAATGAGCTCGAAAGAAACTCAATTCAAACTTTCAACACATGCATATTTATTAGATAGTGCGAGTGATGGTTGGCATTCAACCTTCTCAAGGTTTTCACTGAAAATGTCAACTACCTTAAGTGGCTTATCGTAAGGTACAAGCCCTAGAATGTCAAACTGATCGGTTTCATCGCTCATGTCCTCCATGTGTTTCAGCAATGTAAACCAGTACTGAAAAACAGCATTCATTTACTTTAACCTTGCAACTTCTTCGTTGATAGGCAAAGACAAAGTTACCATAAAGAAAATGGCCGTCATCATCCTGACCTCAATTTATTTTATCAACTAATCAGCATATTTAAAAATGTCCGACACCTCTAATTAAAACTTGAATTAACCAATACAATTCAGTTCGTTACTATTATAACGCGGTTTCTCCCACCATTCTCACTCACCTTGGCTTTCACACGCATTGGATTGATCTCAAAATCATTGTTGCTGTTGTCGATGATGTTAGCTATTGAACCACACATCTGCAGCAAGAACGGTTTCCTGTGAAGTGTGTAGAATTGTCGGCACATGAACTCGACTACTGAGCAGAACAATCGGTTCGTCTGTCGTTGGCTGTAGCAACGTAGCAACGTAGGCATGATCAAGAAAAAACCCTAAACAATTTTCGTAAAGAACAAAAAGCGTTATTGTTCCCGTCTTCTCAAAGGTTTCGTGTAAAATATAACGAATAAAAAAAACTATTCGGTGGGCAAATATTTGAGTCAGATTTGTTTTCCATTTTATTTCTAGCATGAAAGCATAGAAAATGCGTTGAAGTCTGGGAGTAATCTACCGACTCTGGAACGACGGAGGGCTGATTTCCTCAGGGCAGAGCATCGAACTGGAAAGCGATCTATTGTATATTGCACAGCGCCACTAACCACTGCGCCACATCATATTTTAAGAACTACCATAACTATGTTACTGCACAGAGTACTCCTTGTAATTGAGGAATGTACCAGAGGAAATGAAAATACATACCAATAAACAGCTGCGAAAATGTGTGTCAATTTCTCACAAGTATACAATAACTTCTACGTTTTGAATAAACGAATAACCTCTTCATTTTAGATTCGCACAAATTACAAATGGTTAAGAAACAAAACGGGTAAAGCTCTCGGCGATGATCAATCCCTGAGGTATGCGCCATGCATTCAACTTCACTAAGCATCGTTTGGAGGTGATTGAATGCATATTTGGCATTTACAATGACTCGCAGTGCCTACCAATGTTATCGAGCCACTGCTGCTACACTCCCAGACAAGTCTGGTACCAATTTGCCGACTCCGGAGGGATTGAAGGCTTGGTGACTCATGGTGCGGGGACCAATTCCACGTGTGTGTGTTGCGAGGTGCCTCTAACCTCTGCGCCGCAACGGCTCTTTTTGAAGGTGGTTAAAGTTAACAAATCAAGTAATAGTGATGACGATAGCAAAAAATTAGAAGGAATTTCACTTTCTAGTGAGAGTTTACACTAACAAACCAAACAAAGACTAAGATAATAGCAATAAGTTATAAATTTTACAGTTTTTGGTAAAAATTCAGAACATCTCATGATTTTTAGCTTCAGCACTGTAATTCTGGCACATATTTTCCCTTGGGCTTTAGCGCAATTAGAAAACGACTTCCATTAAATTTCAAACCTGACTAGCGAACAAGCTGTTGAAGTGTATACTCATCGCAATGTAGGTGGCAGCACATCGACGAAGAATCAGCAGATCTTCACAGTGCATTATCATGATGCCGTTCACCTATGAAAAACAGAAGCTATGATTTTAAAAAAAAAGGGTTAAATCTCAAGAAGATGGAAGCTGATTAAATGTGGAATTCCTCTCGATGAAAGATGAAGGTTAAGTTCGACTCTTTTGAGGAATACAATCTCGCATCTTTGTAATGGGTGAAAAAGTTGAAAACTACGTTAATCTAATAGTTTTACTGTGTTCAAGCATAACACACACAAATGCAATTAGTACAGATCCTGTGGTTCTCAAAAATGTGTTAAGTCTAACATTTGCCTCATCAGCTTTACTACTGTTACCGTTCACCACTAACTGGCTCAATCACACATCAGTAAAATCTCCACTTTCCTCGTTATATACAGCATCGTAGTCTTCGTACAAAACGTTTATTTCCACTGTTTTGGGCGAAAGACTATTCATGAGCAGCTCACGAGGCTGTGGAGGGCCCAGTATGTACTTGTGTAGTAAGTCGAGCTTTTCCGGAGTATAGGTATTACAGAACCTCTTTATTGGGTATGAGCTACCAATCTTCCGCTATATACTCCCCAGTCACTTGATTGAAAGTTAGATACAGTGCTGCTATCCGCCCAAATGCGAGCACATCCTCGAACGTAGATACGGATGTAACCAGTGTATACGAAAAGTATGTCATTCAGTAAAGCAACAGATTAAACACTATGTATTCTTTCATCGATAAGGTTACACTTAACAGTAATGCCCACTTCATTACAAGTACACTGTTCTCTTCAATCCTTAGCATACACCTAAGAGGGCGCCAGCCATATACTCTTGCAAATATAGCGATCGAGAACCCTCACGTAAGATGAATGGTGGCACGTCTGCTCAAAACCGTCAAATTTGATTAATGTTCGAATTCATGATGTCGGGGAACGAAAACCTTTAAAAACTACTCGATAAGATTTTGCTTGTGTGCACTCCAACCCTATGAAGACCTAAGAAACATGTTCAACTTGTATTGTGTAGTCATTCTAACATGGTAGAAAACTGGTTGTGATTTTGGAGAAGTGAGCTTAGTGCAGAAATATTCCAAATCATAAATTCATTTGGTCTATTCACATGGTTTTTACTGCATGTACTTCATCTGCCACTTCTTCCTTATTGCTCGAAAAATTGGAAGGGATCGCTGAGTTAAAGAATTCTTTGATTCTCACCACATTGATGAACAAATGCAAGTCGGCAAACATAAAGGCGTTCTCCATCTTCTCGAACATGTCTGACATCAACTGAAAGACGTTCGTTGATTGTTGGACTGAACGGATATACAACTATTTCACTAAAATATACCAACTATAGAAAACATATAAGGCGCACGAAAGAGTGTAAAATTAAATGCATAATTAAGCACATGCCCGTTTTTACGCATTTTGATGTCGCATACATTTTTCGGATCCTAACACTTCTCCCATTCGATTCATTTCCTATCATCCATCACCAGTGAAGCTCTTTAGACTTTCATTTAGGTTCGACTGCTCCTTGTGGTCTTAGGTCTTCAACAGAAACGTCGTCGAATGCTCGTAGAGTTAATCGGTCCTGGAATCCTGAGATAGCCGAGACAGGGCGTTCTTGCAACTTCTACCACCGGCATTCGCCAACTTTTGTGGACGCTGGAAGCGAACTGATATCAGGCAAGTCTGATATCAATTTGCAGGTCCAGATGGTGCAGGAGGCTTGATGAGTCCGGTGCTGTGTCTTAGCAGAGTACTGCGAGTATGGAACAGCATCATCACTGTTCACCATTACTTTGTCGCTGTTTAAAAGCTGTGCAAAACTTTTAAAATTGATAATAATTCCCATCTCAATAAGGTTTCTAGATATACAACCTGTTAAACTAGGTTATACAGACTTACTACATTCATATATAAATATGTACCTTAACATAATTACCTTAGCCCAAGTGAACTTGTGCATTGCCTCCATCGCTTTCAACTGCTCACCCATCTCTCCATGAAACATTCCAAAGCAAGTCTCGAGACTTTTACGAGGGAACGATGGCAGATGAGTAAGCTCATCGTGAAGAAAAAAAACTCGCTGTGCGATCTGAAGTAAATTTCTCAAATTAAAATTAAACGGTCAATTAAAACTGATTGGGCGTAACACTGATGAAAATGAGAAAGCTCATAAGCGCAAAAACTCCTTCTTCGCAAGTTAGCGATTATAGAACGATTTCATCGTCCTCAGTCAATTTGAAGACTTGTTACTTGCTTGAACTTGATACTTGAACGGCCCGTCTTCACTAGTTGTATAGCCCTCAGCATAATCTTCATTTTTCGGGGATTTGCTGGTTAAGCCATTGTGGTTTCTTGGAATCCCGAGGTGAGCCTGGCCAAAATTTCCTCAGGCTTGCACCACCACAGGTAGTCGCAGGCCTTGTGGATCAGAGAGAGATTTGCTACTATGCGACTTTGATACCAGGACGGTGACGGATCCTGGGATTGGTTTACTCTTAGCTAGGCTTCCAGATGGAAACGACGGACTCCTTGAGAATGGAAAGAGAAAACAGCAGGACCTTAAGCAACATAGGAGCCCATGTTGTGTTCACACCGGCCACTTCTATGGATGTTAGCCGAAAGAGAGCGAATTGAATTAGAGGACTCTTGGAGTTTGCACTATTTGTCTAGACAAGGATCACCAAGGTATCGCAGTTGGATACTTGAGCACTACTGGATGGCCTGCCCAAACTGGTTGCGCTGGCGAAAGCATAATTTCCACTTTTTCGGAGTTTCGGTGGTTTAGCCACTGCGGTTCCATGGAGTGCCGAGGTCAGCCAGGTCAATGTTTGCCCTGGTATCGAAGTGAGTGATTACAATTCTGCGCCAGCGAAGGATTACATGATCCGAAAAACGGTTTTAAAAAAACTTGGTAGTTGCAATGTCTGATCAAACTGAAATGCAATATTGAACGTTTACTGACCACATGTTGAGGACTATATTTGAGAATGTTGTGCGTCAGGAGCACTTTGCCGACTTCAATGAAACGTTGAGCAAAAACCGTCTGCCTCATCCTTAACTGCGCTTCCTCAATGTCGAGTTTCACAAGCGTCAACTGTGGGTAGAATGATCGATGAAAAAAATAATAATCCCTGAAACGCAATATTGAATAACCAATAGACTCGCTTCCTTTCAGCTGAAGAATGTTTTACTTGATAAATACAATAGCTGTGAAATCTAACAGATTCCAAAACTAACTGAAATGTTCGAATGACTGAGGAAACCAAGAAACACCTCCGTTCGATTACTGCCTTTTTCACCTTTTTGTTCTTTAAATAAATGACTATAAAAGTGTGAAATTTCAAGGACGGACAAAATAACAAAGTACCTAACGTAAGAAGACGGCAAATGAATAAGACCAGACTTAGTGTCTGTCAAAAAGTAGCTGTTGACAGCGGTATCATCGATGTTGAAGAATTCGAGGCTATCACTAAACATCGTACTATTAATTAAAAAGTGGAAAAAGTAGTAGATCCAAGAAATTTCACTTTTCCAGTAGTGTGTGACAAATGAATCGATGATGGCTTCACAGCATAAGATTTTTTCTAAGGCTTAAAAATAAAGAATTCTTAGTATGAAGGACTTAACAAAAAACTGTTTCAATTATAGAACACGGTTCTACGCACCGCGCAGATCCCAGCATTTTGAAAATTTACTTTTTATCCAATTTTACAACAAAGTTGTTATCAAAACGATGTGATAACCAAGAACGTAAATGATAAAGATGCTCGATAGAGAAAAAATGAAGAACCTCAGTATTTGCTGAAATTGGGTATCCTCGTGTACAGGAAATTGACTTGGAATCCCGCCCATTCCGGAATCAGGGCCATGCACAATGATCTTCTTTGCTGATGGTACATTTGCCGTTATCATGAGCGCTTGCTGAAACAAAGTCTTATTTCATCAAGCAGCATTGTCCATGAGGACAAATCAATAAACCCATGTAAATGTGATGTATACAGTATAATTATTTCCTGGACAGTAAATGTGGGATCGCGTAGTGGTTAATGGTGCCGTCGATCATGAAACAAATGCGCTAATTCGACTCCCCAACGCTCTCCTCCAATTCACGTGGGAATGTCTTAGCCTGGCTGTCTCCAAGATTGTAAGGAGTGACTCGATCAATATTCTACGATATTCATGAAAAGGGTGAAACTATATATGATATATCATTATTATGGCTATTTTATCTTATCAGAATAGAATGCATATTAATAGGAAGCAAGCAATTTTTTCATGACTACGGAAACGAAATCAAATTTTTCAATCATGTGGTCGTCCTTGTTTTGTGGCTCAAAATACCAGTGGTTCTGAAAATATGGTAGACTTACGTCACACTGTTCCTTCTTCAGTGTTTGCTTGAGATCTTTGAAGTATAGTCCATGCACGTTCGGTGCGAGGATCCAAGTCAGAGACAATGCCATTCCAAGCGCCTTGTCCCAGCCTTCGCATTGAGCACGCACATAGTGCATGACAAACCCAAACTAAAAATAATAGAAATTTGTATTCAGTTGATATCTCTGATAAAAATCACAAACACAGTCGAACCATTAGCAAATGATGTTTAGGGAATTACTCAAATCCTAATCGATGATGCCTTTGCTTTGCTAAAATCACACTATTACCTGTTACACTTGATTTACCCTTACCAACAATTACACATTGACCTTCTCTTTTTCTCCTTTTCTCCATTTATATTGCTCAATTTTTTGTTGGATTCGCTTTTTTACAACACTTCTGCTCTCTATCACTGTACTTGGCTAACCAATAAAATTTGAAGAACTACCGTTGTACAAGTTAGAAGGCTTTGACAGAATAAAAAGATTTCCCTTCTGGTAGAACGATAAGATTTGTCTTCACTTTACAAGTAAAAATTCAGCCTCATTTAGAGCGAAGAACGTTAAAGGGATACAATACGCTGATATTTATAATACTGCCAACGGATATTAAATTTTCCTACGTTCTTAATGACTTTTTGGTTGGATAAGAAACCGGTTACTACTATTTTTCCATCATCTAAATGAATGTTTTAACTATGAATTCTCTGCATTCTTGTTGTTACCACGCGTTAATGCTTAACTTCATCGCAATTCGAACTTGCCAATCTGTGCAACATTAGTTGGTTTTTTAAGTTAATTATTAAACTACAGAGCGCGTGGGGCACAGTGGTCGGAGGCGCACTGCGACACACATGTGGAATCGATCCCCACGCCCATGACCCACCAAGCCTTCCATTCCTCAGGGCAGATTGGTGCCAGGCCCGTCTGGGAGGATAGCCGCACTAGCTGGAGCTCGGTAGGCCAGTGATCCATTGTAAAGGGCAGATATGCATTCCATCACCTCCAATGGATGCTTAATGAAGTCGAATGCATGGCGCATCTCTTAAGGATTGATCAACGCTGCGAGCTCTGTCCTTCATTTATTGAACGAACATATTCAGTTTTACGCCAAATTTTTCAATATAGCTAACCAATTACTTAACACTTTTCAACAAATATCATAGTTAATGAAACGAAAATTAAGACAAAAACTAAGTGGTGAGGAACTTAATGTCCGTGTGGGTGAGCGCTGCCCAATGTTGTTGTTTTATTTTCAATCACTAACGCTAATTAACCTCTTTATACCGTGCAATTTCTGGGAAACTCACCAAATAATTGAGAAGAGAATAAGCTGCTTGACTAGGCAACGGGTTGAAACGAAGGACCAGCTTGCGTAGTAAGGACATGAGGTATTCCTGCAATGAAGACGAGTTACGGTAGTGATGATGGCAGAGTGGATCATATCCAAGGGTATTATGTGTTATCCAGTTGCTATTTATTGTAATTCATCACGCCATAAACTCACATAACTGGGCGTTGGACGATATTCATTTGTAAGAGTCTGAAAGAAAGAAGACAATAGTTAAAGCACAAAAAAGAAAATCGTCCAAGAGTGACCGATGAAACCGCACGTGCAAGGTGTTGAATTTAGGGTAAAGAAGGTCCAAAGTGGTTAAATATACGAAGAGAGGGATTATGCATGCTCCACCATGCACATATAGTCAGTCGGAAGCATGCTCAGGTTAAGTATACGTATCTATTATTGGGAAGATTCAAACGACACGTGCTCAAACAACGGAGAGGAAGGTCTTCATTTATGCAAACATCAAGATTAGTAAGGCATTCTTGAATCTATTTTGTTAGCAAACAAAATTCTCTCATGGCTAACTGTGAAAAACACTTGACCTCAAATGCTCTAACATATACAAAAATCTCGCCGCGCCGTTCTGTATAACAATCATACGATATCTTCAACCAATTACTGAGAGTGAAATCTAAATAGAAAACATAAAAGATAGCAAAAACAAAGAGCGCTACTTCTGATTTAAACATTTTTTGCGACAACGCGTATGGGGTTCAATTCGTACGCGTCAAGAAATATAATAGTATTTGAGAATCAGACAGAAATATCTCAAGTTATAGTGAAGTTTATTATTCGAAAAAACGATAAGCAGAATCAACAGATCTTTTTGAACAAAATACAAACTTTTTACTCAATCAGTGCGAAGCCATGATTTCGGGGCCCAGAAAAAATGTCTATGCAGTTTATTTTCTAGCGTATAAACGTTTCTGAAGTAATGAAGCGATTGAACAAACGAGATTCTGTATAGGAGGTTCCAATGGCGAATGCATCGCTGATGCTTGCGAATGTCGTGATTTTGACGAAAAATTTTAAAGCTGTCTTTGTCAGAAAACATAGATATGCGCTTGAAACAACAGTACATGACCTTTCCATAAGAATATAATATTCTCAACTTTCCAAGAGCAATGCTATCAAAATCGATTCTTATCCTGAAAAATCGAGAGATAAAGAATGATACGCAGTTCTTAAAAACTGCTCTATCGCGAATGTGTTAAGAACAGTTAATCAACTTCATGACTATCTTCTGTTTAACTTCTCAGAATTTTAAAGCTATCACGTAAGAAATTCCATTATCTAGGTGAGTATTTTGGCTTCAAGCAAAAAAAGTATTTCGTCAAGACAATGGAGAACGGCAAACAGAACATATGTATGTCTCAGATGAAGTGGTCAGACATGCAAATGACAAATACATGCCATTCTTCAATGATGCTGAGATATTTGCAAAACTTCGAACCACAGGTGTACGCGGTGGGGAACGAACGCGCTATTGCCCTTTCCGGGGAGTAACGCGTTCACCACCACACCATGCGGGTCCTTCGTTTCGCCTGTCTCTCAGCTAGTTCTATCGATCTGTGTCTTCAGCAATCACCTAACGGGATTGATTTGGAGAGCAAAAATCGCCAAAGAACCCAGTTAAGCTGAGGCTGTAGTTATAATATTATATATTAATAGGCGAAACGAAGGACCTTCATGATGCGGTAGTAAATGCGTTACTCCCCGGAAGAGACAATAGCACGTTCGTTCCCCACCGCATACACCTGCGGTCCAGAGCTTTGCAAATACCTCAGCATCATTGAAGTTATGTTTCGCAATATACCCTGCCGTTAAAAAGAGTAGGCATTAAAAAATAAGTCAAAAAATGCCACTCTGTTCACTTGTTATGTAAATGCAGGAAAAAATCTCGAGTACTGGACACCAATTCCTACCTGTCGCTCCCGATTTGTTAACTTTTCCAAGAAATGCCTAAAGAACAGCGAAGGATCTTCAACGATGCATGTCCAGATGACCTTTCGCGAAGTGTCGCTCACTGGAAGAGAATTTTACAAACAAAAGTCCTCCCGCACAAGCAGAACTGCTTTGAATTTTTTTTAGCCATAATCATAAACAAGTACTGTGCATTTTTAAATCCAACAGAGTTATGACGCTAATATATCATTCAAAATTCACTGATGTGACGATCGTGGAATTAAATCGTGAAACGACCTTCGTCAAGAAGAGATTGAAACTGTCGTTACTTATCAGTATTTTTCAATCCGACCGTCATTTAACCTCGACATTAATAATCAATACCGTCCTGAATTATTAAACTTACATAACGTTGATAAAAAGGTTTATTCGGCTAGCATTTCGACGTATCCGTTATCCACAGAGCCAATGATCCGAGTCGATGGTCCGACGGAACTGAGAAAGATGAGGACGTTGAAACGTTACCCGAATAAACCTTTTTATCAACCTCGTGTTAGCTTACTAATCCAGGAAAGTATTTTCATTGCTTAATCCTTCACGGAGTAGTCACAATTCAACTGGTTTTAAGAAGGAAAGGGTGGCGGTCCTGGATAATAGAACAAATGCAGAAGTCCAACCTAGTTTCTGTTCCCTTCATTACATTTCATTTCATGCGACCCGTCCTTAAGTCTACTGTACGGATCTCAGCGATTCTCACACTTGATTCGTTTCCTCGTATCCACCATCGACAAATTCCTTCCAACTTCTACGTGTGGCTTTGGGTGTTGGCTGAGGATTTCCATTTCATCTTGAATGTCATAAAATGCTGGTCGAGCCGATTCTTCCTGGAGCCCTGAGATATCCGGGCTGGAGGGTTACCGATTTGATTGCACGGCGAATTTTTCTCAAGCAAGTCGAGTACCAACTTTTTGACCTTCGAGGAATGAGAGGCTTGGTGAGCCTGGAGCGAGATCGAACCAGCAGCGTACTTGTGGTCAAGGGCACAATTTCCGCTGTGCTATCCACCTCTGTATTTATTTTGTTTCAAGTATTTATAATTATAAGTTTAGCATAAAACTTAAAACACATACCCGAAATTCCATACTTGTCCACTTGAGGATCGTCAAGCATCTCAATGATCATAGGAATGACGGACAATAAAGAGGAAGGGAATAAAGGTTGTGCTACCGGCATATAATGGCGGGTGGGATGATGAGCAATCTCAGACTCTAAAAGAAATCCGTTTAGATACAAAATAATCTTAAAAGGATAATATGAAAAAGGTTGATCGTTTGCTACAATAATGAATGTGGATTTCGTCTAACAACGATTTTCGTCCTCTAGTAAATGGATAAGTCAGCGTCATAAGTACAGTAACATGGATTGGATGGATTCTACTATAGATTGAACAACTTCGACCTGCTTGGGCGAATGAGACAACGAACAAACTCGAACGTATTAGAAAGGATGGTGATAGGAATGAGCTTACCTTCTCCCTGTTCTTGCTGATGGTGAAACAACGCAGGTTCATAGGCTGCCTGTTGAACTATGGCTGAGCAACGAAGTCTGAAATATTTTTTACAATTGTTTTACCATTTTACTTCTCGTTCGTTCTCCTTCCTTTTCTTCAGTTTCCATTTCATAAGAATAGTCGAACCAAGAATTACAATACCGCAAACGCTCAATGGAAACTATAATTTGTTTCAAAAATCATTTTAATAAGGAGTATAGAGGGACATCGAAAGAATAACCTCAATCTTCCGATAAAAAATGCACGTCTACTCTAGAATGTACTCGTTCGTTGATGTAACAAATATTCACAGAGTAGAAAAATAGTTGTGCTTACTTCAGAACTGTAAGAAAAGAGGAAAGCCTTCTGAAGTAACGTTTTGTAACGGAATCACATTTATCAGAAATTTAACTTTAGTTTTGCAAAGTGAGACAAATTTTAAAAACTTCTGCTTATAAAGTGATGGACCTGAATAGCTGCCTCTGCTCGCACTGACGTTCTTCCGCGTCCCTCACCGCCCTCTTTACCATCTCCTGTTTTTGTTTTCGACGTGTGCGGGTCATCGTCATGATTGTCTGAGACTGGAGTTGCAAGATGTAGTTAAATATAGCTATCAATGTATTATTTACTTTATAAAAATTCCTAAAAATGCATTGCACTAACTTTTAAAAATTCATTTGTGTAGAAGACTTGTTCTAAAAATTTAATGGCGACTATCAAACGTTGAATAACTCCATAAAAGAAAGTTACATACTGTGGCATGTTCTTCTTCCTTTAAAGAAAGTTCTTCAATTTTGGTTTTTAGATGAGGCATCCATGGTGGATCGACCACTGGAAGTTGGCTCTGTCCGATAGGCGGCGATGGTAGTGTAAAGTCGATTCCAGGGGGTGGCACCTGAGAGGTATAATTAGGCACTCTTCTTAATACATTATGAGATACTGCTACAGAACTTTTCTTTTTGAACACTAATCATTCACCATTGAGAGCAAATGCCAGAATCTCTTAGAATATATCTTGCTCTTACAATGTCCATCCATGCGAACTCTTTACAATGCTCTTTATGCTAGAACAGTTTTATGTTCTTCTCTTAATGAAACACGAAGATCACTTCTGTCGCCTTACGTCTTATACTAAATATTCTAGTCTATATTAGTCTCATATGATGCATGCGTGCTGGCTTAATCATAAATTCTATGAACTTTCGGCAATACTTCTCACTTTAGCTATCCACGTGAATCAGCGCGTTGACGGCCTTGCACTTTCAAGCGACCAACTCAATTATCCCTTCTTAATTGTGTGTAGGACATGATGGGCTTATTCATCTCCCCAACCCTTTCAAGTTAGTGAAGTTGAAGCTTATTCTTCGTCCTTGAGGAAAAATAAATCTTCGGCTTTTACGCGCTTTTGATACACAGCACTAATGAAATATTGTACAAGAAAACAATCCGTACATGCCAGCAAATGCAATTACGCATACGTGTCCTGTACATTTATTTTTGTCCATTTATAATGAGCCGAACCATAGTAGAACCGAAAGATATATCCTCTAAATCCTTTTCGACACAAAATAAGCAGCCGCTTCCCTTTGTTTTCGCTCAACCCTAACTCTCCTCCGCATGCTCATGGAAATTCACAGCTATACGACTGCAAAGAGCGTTTACAGTGCGAATCCATATCTATATCTAATTATGTTACAAAACTATAGTTGTATACCTTGAACGAAGTCTGTGCACCATCTTCCATCTTCAACCACACATGAAATCTGTTCCTCCATAAAGCATAGAACCTAAAATTTCCCAAATTATCCATTACCTGACCTTCGTAACTCTATCCTAAGAAGGTCACTGAAAACTGAAATTGCTTCTCTAATCCTGGTGCACAGGGTTTTTAAACGACAAAAAATCGACAGCGGAAACTGTAGTTTTAAAAGGCAGATTGACTGCTTTTAGACTTTAATTCTTCTGAGAGGTGTCTATCCACATCAATTTTGGAACTCTCTATCCTGAGCAGCCACTGTATCAAAAAAAATTTACTGAGAAGAATTAGGACAGCGCGGGAAAAACGGATAAAAAGTTTTTTACATGACCCGTCATCAAATCTACTATGCGGACTCCAGCCATTTTCACATACAATTCGTTTCCTTCGCAATCATCGTTCATAAAGTAATTTCGAATAATCTGCGTGTTGCTTCGGCTGCTGCTTGAGAATTTTTCTTTTTCATAAATGCCGTATAATGCTTGAAGTGGATTTTCCTTGCAACCACGGAGATAGCAGAGGTAGCGCAGTCCCACATGGATTTGGTGCAGAGCTTTGGGGAAGGTGTCAAACCTGCACTTCACTTGCCGACGGATTGTATCACTAATCACTGCGCTGAATTGCGATTTGTTCAAATAATTTGTCAGCTTTTGAGAATATCAGTGAAGAATCCGGTTGGCTCAACCTGCATCTTCATGTCAACGCTATGAAAGTTAAAAGTTCGAGAGCCTCCAAGAGGCATTTGGCTCTAAAAACACTCGAAAAGCATTTGTAAATCTAACCAGAACCGCCAATTACAAAACCAAGATGTTCACACTCCGACGATCAGGCGGAACAGTTACAGCTTTCAGAAAATCAATGGAGAAAGTTATTCACCATAACTATGCGGATCTCTTCAAACCACGTTCTTCTTCGCTCATATGGAATAAAGGACGCTGGATATATCGTCTCACCGGTTCTCTCCTCCGAACTCCGATATGCTAGTTCGCCTGTGGAGAATCGAACAACACCTGGTCCGATTAAGATACGATCTGAACACCTGAAGAACCTTCCGCCAGTCACCATGAACACACTCTTCCTTACTAGACTCGGCTCCTTATAATTTTCTTATCAGAACACAGGGTTCCTATTTATTGGAAGACCAGCAAGACTGCTGTCCTTCAAAAATGGATTCAAGGCTAAACAGGATTGGCGCAAGCCGATTTTCGAGAGGCATTGGGAACAATGGACCACCTACACACGATAATAAGACTCAATGAAGTCTCGCGAGAGTACAAGAGACCGCTTTCAATCAATTTTATCTATTTAATGAAAGTTTTTAACTCAGTTGAGATAGAAGTAGTCACTGAAGCCTTGGAGAGCCAGCCAGGGAGTCCCTATTGAGTACATAAAGTTTCCTCGTGAGTTATTTAAAAATTCTATAACACAGATATCACCATTATACATAGACCACGAATCTCCTTCATATGAGGGATCTCGAGCCGGTTAGTGGTGAAGCTACGTGGCGCGCCCCCAGGTGGCGGATAGGGGGTTAATGGGTTAATCGCGGACCAAAAGCGACCATTGCTTCATTGAGAGATGCAGGTGAACCCATGGGTGGATTCTCTGTTTCTAGTGCGCCGATTTGGTACATACTTTCTGTATTTGCTAGGCCTATTCATGCATGCGTGTGTGGGTGCGTTCTCGCTTATGGCGATTGTATTCTACGAGTCAATTCGGCCAAAAGCCTGCAATCAAGTGACAGGGAAGTACATGAGAGGCGGTTAGGAGTCGCCTCCAACAAATAAGCTCCATGTCCACTCTGAGAGAGCCTGACCAGCTATCCGTGACTATACCCAGCCCCCACGTTCAGAGCCCAGCAAGCCATACGTGAGTATCAAAAATGCTAAACACAGTAAAAAAAAAAAGTGGGCTTCATTCCCCTGACCCCGAAAGAGCATCCAATTTCGCAGCGTTGGGTAGGACGAGTACGGAGAGGCTGCTAAAAACTCGCGCCAATGGACTAAAAGCCTGGATTTCAAAGAAGTATAGTGACGATCTGCACCAATGCACGTACACTTGCATCCGAGTCCTCGATAGTTCTCATGCAAGCAAGAAGGATAAAGTACGACGTCATCGGCCTGGCCGAGACGAGAAGACGCCAGCCTTTCAACGCCATCTATGACACCAGAGAAGAACTGTTCCTCGGAACATGCAACAGTAGAGGACTCGGCGGCGTCGGCATTCTCGTCAACACGAGTTTGTCTAAGAACATCGATTCATTCGAACAACTTACAACCTGGATCGGATGTTTACGATTAAAAAGACGTGGATCAATACCGGCTTCTATTCTTCAAGGTCATCATTGGAGATTTCAACGCCAAGACAAGACCAAGAAGAACGTCTGAAGAACGTCACTTTGGGACCCACGGATTAGAATGGAACGAACGGGGTGAATGGCTCTCTGAGTTTATCATGACGACCAAGACCAACCATGGTAACTCGCAATTCCAAAAGTCCCGCCTTCAAAGATGGACGTAGGGTGTCCCAATGGAGAGTACTATAACGAAATAGACCACATTATAGTAAATAGAAGGTATTGCCTAACCGATGTCGCTTTTGTACCGAAATTCTACACGGGATCAGACCTTCGTTTCCTTCGTGCAAGATTCTATTCCTCGCAGAAAGGAGAAAAAGCCACTAAATTCCAAAACCGAAGTCCCAGAACCACTGAAAACTGCGACTTATTCAATTCATTAGTCAGTTGTTGGGAAGATGCCATTGTCGATAATATGGATAAAGAATACGATCGGCTCATTCAAGATCTTCACGTCAGCGCTATGAAAGCTGAGAGTTCGAAAGTCACCAAGAGACGTTTGTCTCCAGAAACATTCGAACTGATACGCCAGCGTGGAATCGCACGAGCTGTAGGCAACCGCCAACTAACGTCCGAACTTGCAAAACAGTGCAGACAGGCGATAAAAAAAGATCTTAAAGAGAGAAGAGCAGCAGTAATGGTCGAAGCTGCAGGGGCTGTGAAAAGCATTCGCAAAGCCCACCGAAGCTTCGCCAATAATAAGACCAAGATGATTGCACTCCGGCGCCCAGACGGAACAGTTACAGCGTCCAGAAAGGCAATGTAGAAAATCACTCACGAATACTAATCGGATCCCTTCGGTAGCCACGCCCACCTTCCGTCATATGAAATAAAAGAGAAAGGATATGTTGTACCACCGGTTAATCCTTCCGAAATCCGACATGCCATTTCGATGGTGAAAAATCGAACAGCACCAGGTCCGGACAGGATAAGATTAGAACACCTGAAGAACCTTCCGCCAGTCCTCGTAAACACACTGGCTCGGCTTTTCAGACGTTGCCTGAATGCAAGGTCCCTACTCAGTTGAAGACTAGCAAGACCGTGTTATTCTTCAATAAGCGTGACCTACACGATATAGACAACTATCGCGCAATATGCTTGCTGCCTGTCGTCTACAAACTTTTCACTCGAGTCATCGTGAACAAGATTGACAGAACACTGGACGAAGGATAGCCATGTGAGCAAGCAGGGTTTCCAAAAAGATTTAGTACGATGGACCACATCCACACGTTTGCTGATGAAATCGTCCTTATAATACCAAACATTAGCCAAGCGTAACGTATACTTGACGACTTTGACAAGGCCTGTGAAAGGATCGGTCTTCGGAAAAATCTTACAGAAACGATGTTCATGAAGAACGGATTGGTTTCGCATGCCCCATTCACGCTCAACTGAACGAATTTCTCCGAATGCTCCAGTTATATCCATTTAGGTCAGGAAATCAATATGATGAACGATCTAGCTCCAGCGCTGAGCAGAAGGAAACGAGTGGTTTGGGGAGCTTTCAAGAGCATCGAGGATGTAGTGAAGAAAACAAAGAACACCTGACTCTGTGCCCAACTTTTCGACTCAACGTACTTTCTGCCCTAACGTATGCGTCAGAAACCTGGTCGCTGCGTAAGCAGGATGAGAGGTCACTCAGCGTTATCGAACGCGCAGTCGAAAGGACGATGCTAGGAGTATCTCGTTCCACACAAGTAACGGATGGCATCCGAAGTTCTGATCTGCGTCAACGATCAAAAATCAAAGGTGCCGTTCTGTACGCCAAAGAGTCGGAGATGAGATGGACCGGACACGTAATGCGTATGAATGACAACAGATGGACAAGAGCCGTTAGTGACTGGATTTCTTTAGATGTCAAGCGTACTGCAGGAAGACCATCGACGCGATGGTGAGAGTTCTTGGCGAAGAGGCTAGAAGAACGATATAATGCTCAACGAGTCCCTAGAGCGAGCAGAACCCACTGGGCTATTCTTGCACGCTGCAGGGAGAAGTCGAAGAATTACTGGCGCTTGGGTCATTCGACGATCCATAAGACGATAGGTGGTAGGGGTAAGTGATTGTAAACAATTCAGAACGAATGGAATTGAAATCGATCAAAGCAAGTCGTAATGATTATTTCATATCTTAATAAATCGAAAAGAAATCATTAAAAACCTGTGTATTGCTTCCGTTCTATCAGTAGCATTGCTCGACTCCATCGCCTTCTTCATTACTTTCAAGCATTCTTCCGCACGACGAACACATGCCACCACAAACATCGATGCTTAATTGGAGGAAACTTTGAGAAGAGCAAACTGCAATTTGATGAAGATTTCATTCAGTGGAAAAGTTGTTTTTGAACGTTTACACAATTCTTTGTAAGGAACCATGTATAGAGACCAATGGAATTTTCCGAATGCACTTGTTTCTTTTTTTTAACAATCATTTCAATTACAACGGTGCTGAGATATTTGCAAAACTCCGTACCGCAGGTGTCTGCGGTAGGGAACGAACGCGCTATTGTTCTTTCCAGGGAATAACGCGCTCACCACCAGACCATGCGGGTCCTTCGTTTCGCTATCCTTCAGCTAGTTCTATCGATCACTGCCATCAGCATTCATCCAGCTTGGGCTCACCAGATCAATCCCGTTGACGGGTGATTGCTGATGGCAGTAATCGATAGAACTAGCTGAGAGACAGGCGAAACGAAGGACTGGCATGATGTGGTGGTGAGCGCGTTTCTCCCCGGAAAAGACAATAACGCGTTCGTTCCCCACCACAGACACCTGCGGTCCGGAGTTTTGCAAATATCTCAGCATCATTGTAGTTGTTTCACAAATAATACCCTACCGTGAAAACGGGTAGAAGGCAGTAAATAAGAAAGTCAACATTGTGAATCATTTCAATATTTATGAAGCATTCCCATTACTTACGTTATTGTATTTTTGAGACTCATTTTCTCAACGATCTTGCGCACTAATTGCTTTTTATTCCTGTTCTTTGACAGTATGTCAATAGGCAATCCATACATGCTCATCTTTCGGAAACAGGTCGAAGAACGAAATTTCAGTGGTCCACGAAGGTTGTAAAGAGGCAAAGGATAAAACTCTCAGTGCTGGCAAATCCTTGGTGGATAGGCCTTCCATTTGACTTCATCAAACATCGTTATAAGTGAATGAATGCACTTTTGGCTTAAATAATAACTTGCCATAACTTGCACAGACTTACCTATGTGAGGAGATTTGGGTTTAGGGTGAGGCGTGGCATCGAAACAAGGACCACATATGTTTTGCTCAGCAGCTATAACCACTGCGCTACCGCCCACGAGCGTGTTGTGTCATGCACTCATAGAATCGTTGACCAAAGTGAACAAATGTTTGCGAGCTGGTTGATGTGACGAAATCGTAAATGACAATGAAAATCGGAGAAATAAGTTCTTATGCGACAAGAACTGCGGTCTACATCGTTCCTTAGCCGGTCGATAGCAATCAAGAAGAAAAGATTGACGGACCTACTCGTTAACTATCGCTACAGAATGCAACACAATCCAAAATGCAGGTTATACTGGACGCCAGGAATCGATCAACATTTCTTCTTTATAAAAGGGCACTGTTGAGTGAAGCTCCCCATTCGAGAGGTGTTCTCTCCACTGGATTGGACTCTATGTGATAACAAACACCCACATCGCTACGTCGACTAGCTGTGAAGCATCGACTCGGATCAATGTGGCTCTGAGGAAGACGAAGGCACCGAAACGTCAGCCGAATAAAAATTTATGCCCACCTAATGTTAACTCCATCATACAAAATATTACTGACTGACTACTATTTAAGTAATTTTGTTTTCTGTCACGTATATCTTAATTTATATAACCCCTATTTCTCTATATTTGCCTACAACCTCATCGATTCGAAGTTGTATTGTCAACTTCCTAAATCGCGAAAGCCTAAAAGTGAAGAGAAATCAAACGGAATTGAACACTGAAGCGAGTGACAATTTCTGTAATATATGCATAATATATATGAAAAAATAGGATAGAATCGACGAATAACTTGTCATTTCAAAAACTTTCAAATGCTTGTGAAAAAGATACCATGCAGTGAGCAACCTAGTCCTAGTATGTGGTAACAAGTACTGAATATTCCACAAATACAGAGACTGAGGAATGCTAACAGAATCAAGGTATTTGGATTGCTATACTAATGGATCTGTCAGATTTTTAAAAGGGAATACTTGTAGAACATTGCAAAGACAGAGAACCACCGCCATAAAGAAGTCATCCACTGCATGAGATCTATAGATTTGACAAGCTAATGACAAGAAGCTATCATTTTCTGCTTTTAACAAGGTGTAGCAATACCGTTTCCCCGACAAAATATATGATGTTTGACGGGAGATAAGAGCTTGTTTATAGCCAATAGTGGTTGAAAATTTTGTAAAAATTTTCTTCTTGATGGCTTGACACAAATTCATAAGAGATGAGGCAGACAGTTTATAAACTTAACAACCTCACTAAAGTTTTCAGTCACACTCAAGCGTAATCCTTAAACATAGATGTAATTCTGGTCATGTTTTGAACAGGTTGCTGTTTTTTTCAACATAAATAATTCTCTTTTTTATTGGGAGATGAAATTTAGGTAAGAAGGACTCGGTTGAACATTAGTTTACAACGATACGTTATTGGACAAAGGGCATACAGAAGTCTCGATGATGTGATAGGAAACAACAGTGTGATTGTGCTGAACTCACCTGCACTCAAGACAACATGAGGATCATCGTTGAGAAGAAGACTCCATGACACTTCCACTAATTGTTTATACTGGTCTGGTGTCAGTAGGAGACAACTTTTCAGCGCCGCCGAAAGAGGAGCATGTACCAGGTTCAGTGCCTAAACATGCTTTTAATTTAAAAAATGACCATTCAGGATGACCAATGAGTTTTTCATTAAGGATGACTTCTGCACTAAGCAGAGTCTTTGCTATTTTGTTGGGAGATGAACTGTCTCAAACGCAGTTTACAAAGCTGAAGGAATTGGTTGCCAATATTCTTACTATGTAAGACATAAAAATAAATGAAACAAACTGTAGAAAAAACGGCATGCTCTTATGATTTCCATAAGATTCTGTGGACCTCATAAGACCTAGATTTTAGTTGAAATGCTGAAAAGTTCGAAAAGAAAAAAGGGAAAAAAATCAGCGTACCAAGGTTCTGACGTAGTCAAGCATTGGTTTGTTACCAACCTCTTCACATTCGTCGGCTAAGATCTCAGAACCGTGATTTTGATCCTAAATTTATTTTTAAACTGAAGGACACTCTTTCTATACATGTCATATGGTGCCATTAAATCAAAAACCGAAAGAGCACATATTATATGGATATTTGTATTATTGACAAAATATTTAATTGGAACTTGGTTAAGCCTGGTTATAATTAAATTAATTGGACTGCGTAAGCTTGGTTATAATAAAATTAATTGGACTGGCTAAGCCTGTTTATAATAACTAAGAGTAGTCGAATTTGAACTATAGGATATAAGGAAAAGCCGGAATTATAATTTCTCAACTTCAATCAACCCAAGGAAAGCCAGTAACTAAACAAGGTACGAAATATCTACCACACTCGCTTTCTTGGGAACTCCTTCCTCTCGTTCTCGTTCCTTCTCCCGTTCCTTCTCCTGCATCATTTTCTCCATTAGTAGTGCCTAAATTCTTACATACTGAGTTCGATGGGTAAAAGCTGATGTAAGTCAATAAGAAAAAACGATACAGGAATAGAAAAGCTTCGATCGTAAATGAAAGTCACTGGAGCATTTCCACAGCAGTGGTTTATTTTTCTTGCAAAAAAAACACCCAAGACAGATAAAAAACGATCACCAATTTCCCAGATCGAAAAAACATCTGGCCCTGTCTTTAAGAAGATCTTCTTCACCTACTGCGTAATAAAATCAACTGGTAACGAACTTTGATAGCTTTACTACTGCATTCAACATTCGGACCAACCATTGCGCTTTCTCGTCTTGGCACTACAGCTGACTGACGTGAATGAATGGACTGAAAAAGTGAAATCACGGGCGAATTTAATATTCACATGAATTCAGCTTCTAAGGACTCGTCACATCAGGATGGATAAAACAAAATAAAAAGGAGAAAGCTCGACGTTGATCAAACCCTGGCGAATGCGCGGTGCATTCGACTTAAATAAGCATCGTTTGGAGGTGATTGAATGCATATCTGGCCTTTACAATGGCTCACTGGCCTACCGATGTATCGAGCCAGTGCGGCCATCCTCCCAGACAGGTCTGGTAAAGGTTTGCCGACGCCAGAGGGATGGAAGGCATGCTGGGTCTTGGACGAGGTGATCGATTCCACGGGTGTGTTGCAGAGCACCTCCAACCACTGCGCAACACGCTGCACACACACCAAAGTGATCACAGAAAAATAACGTTCGACGACTTCTCCAGTATTTCTTATATTAGTTGCTCGCGCGAGTTTTGCACTCAATGAAATCGATCTTACACGCCTCACTATGTATTCCGCTTTATACCGTTGGAAAAATGCGATATAATTCAATAATCCTTAACTTGTAATTTTGTTAAATCTCAATGTCATAGCTGACAAAAATTCTACACGTTAACCGCAACTTAGCAAAAAAATATCCCCAAATACCGGTTATCTTTCAGATTGTTTCCATCGATTCTTAAGGATTGAGAAGCTGCTATAAGAAAGACAGCGGGTTTTGGATAAAAGTCCTAACACCAAGGGCATTCATTTGTTACTGGAACTCAAGTAAATCCGTAACTAACATAAAAATTATAGTAACTCCCACGTCCAATTTTCTATTAACCTCAGCACTGATTGAACAATTCTTTCCACTTCTGTTCAGCAAACATGAGGTGCTATTTTATTTCTTTATATACGTACAAGCTGACGTTTCGGCGGATTTCGCCTTCCTCAGAGCCTAGAAGGGTCAACTTGACAGCAATCCATTCGGCCAAGCACCTCCATAACCAAACAGAGAAAACGCTAAACGAAGATTAAAATCACATTGAACACAGCTCCACACACTCACCGCTTTCTATGAGTCCTCCACTGAGTATGTCGTGTGAAGACCAACCACACAGAATTCTCATGGAAGCGTAATGTGCCCCTCCCATCAAAATAACAGGTTTATATACTGGCCAATATCACGCGTGATAATGAGGCATTCTTCCCTGCGGTTCATTTTCGGATTTCTGGAATTAATCCAGAGTGCCTCGAGAGTTTTTCGCGCCTGTGTTCTTGATTCGCGTGCGAGGATCGTGACACATACTTCGAAGTCGTCCCCGTTATGTCTCTGGGTCCTATGCGTGCCTAGCGGGGTATTTGGTCTATTTTTGCCGGCTAGGTGTTCTTTCATGCGGACACAGAGGGGTCTACCCGTTTCGCCAATGTATTCGTCACCACACGGCTTACAGGAGATCAGATAAACTATACCCGAGCTCATGCAATCACCGTCTCTACCACTGGGGCAAATTATGCAATTTTGAGTTGCACATAGACGGTCATATAGGCGGTTGCGAACTAGCTGGCGCTTAAGATTACTCGGTGGTATTTCAACTACGCTCACCGAACTCTCTAAGCTCGCCCTTCTTAAGCAGCGTTTTATAGCTGTACTTATATCATTTGAGATGAAGGGTAGGATAAACAGGACCCTTCTATCACTAGAGTTGTCGTTTGGAGGCCTACGATTTCCTCTACACCTATTCTGAGCTACAGTTTCGTAACCATTAGAAATGGCTATTTGCCGTGCCAAGTTCCGGAACTCCTCTCTCTGCTCTCTTCCCGTGCACACGTTGGTTGCCGTTCGAAACATGTTTCTTATAAGCGCCCTTTTCGTGTGAGAGGAGTGAGAAGATAGGTAATATACTAGGATGTTTTTACTACTTGGCTTTCGGTAGCATTTCCTAATGTAGCCATTTTCTGATAGATTAATTTGGACGTTCAGGAATGGAAGCCGTTCTTCTTTCGGTTTCTCTCGGGTGAACTTGATATACTCTGACTGTTTATTCAACAACACGAAACACTTATCCATTTCCTCTTGTGTCGAGCAAAAGACAAAACAGTCATCTATATATCTACCGCAGAGTAGCGGTCCGAGCACAATCACCGGTGCTTCCACCTCAGGCATAAACGCAATGGCGAGACTTGGCGCCAGTCGTTGTCTCATTGCCAACCCGCTTATTTGAGCGTGGTACTTTCCGGATCATCTGAAGATTGAGCAGCTCAAGTATTCTTTTAAGAGTGCCATCAGCTGCTGAATCGAGAAGCCATACATGTTTATTTCTCTTTCGTGTTGTAGAAGGAGTTCGAATATGGCTTGCATTGTGGAGTCATTCGACACGTTTGTATAAGGGCGATAACGTCAAGGGACTCCATCACGTACGCGCTGCTGGGCTGCGCAGTACGTAGGCGATCCAGAAACATCTGGGTGTTAGTAAGATGGGCTCGAGTGTGTTTCAACAACTGATTAAATATTAGGGTTAAAAACCATGTTATCCTATTCGTTGGCCCGTATACAATGATAGGTCTAACCTTAAATAATGATGGATCGGTAGACGCAAGATCATCGCTGGATACTAACTTATGAGTTTTTATAAGTAAGTACAAGACGGGGCATGTTGGTAAGTCAACTTTAAGTTGAGAGATAACTGATGGTTTTAAACCAGCAGCCTTTGCCATTTTGGCCCATTCGTGGTTTAGTTTTCGGTATTTACTTTTGAATTCCTCCTCAGATGATAGGCGATAATGCGAAGCATCCTCAAGATGCTTTTTCGTTATCTCCACATCTAACTGATGAAGAATTACGACAAATTCTCCACTCTTATCACTAATGGATAGTCTTATGTTTGTCAACCTTATCAGCTCTTGTACCTCTCGCATACCACGTTTTTGCACTTCAGCGAAGTTTGAGCTGTATCTTTTCGCGCGATAGTGATTGAAGACTTTGAGAGTTTCACTCGTAAACAACAGAAATTTAACATCAACTTCATTATTGGGCTCTTGCTGTCTAAAGAACGTTGGGGGAAATGGTGCTATTGGTAGGGCCTCCACTTGATGTTGCTCGCACCCATTTTGCGATACATCTCCAACTTTTTTGCGGAGTCTATCTTGAAGTTCATGTAAACTACATGCGACCCTACGCAAGGTTATCTTAGAAATCGGTTCAGATGGTGAGAAACTCGGACCTAGTTCTAATAACGAGCGCGCACCATCAGGGAGAGTCATGCCTCCTAACACGGTTAGCCTTGAGTTTTCTTGCACATTACTTATCCTACTGTGACCTGTTTGATGCTCGTTAGCGATATTTCTGTGCACTATTGAAGCTGTGTTATGCGATTTACTCAAAAGGTCTTCGAATTTTCTCCGCAAAGTTACTTTAGCATTAGACCTAATAGAGTTACAAATCAAAACTGACCCACCCACTATTCTCCTCCAGAGGCGGTCATCCAAATACTGAACACAGTAGTTTTCGGACCACAGGTATATGCAGTGGGGAACGAACACGCGCTGTTGTCCTTACCGGGGAGCAGCGCACTTCACCACTACACCATCCGGGTCCTTCGCTTTGCATGTCTTTCAGCTAGTTCTATCGATCTTTTTGCCAACAGCAATCACCCGTCAACGGGATTGATCTGGGAAGCCAATATCGGCATTGAACCCAGTTAAGCTGAGGCCTAGTTATAATCGATAGAACTAGCTGAGAGATATGCGAAGCGAAGGACCCGGATGGTGTAGTGGTGAAGTGCGCTGCTCCCCGCTAAGGACAACAGCGCGTGTTCGTTCTCCACTGCATACACCTGTGGTCCGGAGTTTTGCAAATATCTCAGCACTTCATACGAGTTATATTTCACAACATACCCTGCCATTAAGAAGAAAAAGGCAGTAAATAAAAGAGTTACAATAGTTTTCCTTCTTCTCGTACTTCTTCCACTTGGCGAACATCTGGTTTTGTTTGCTTCGTACAGGTGCGTAGCACTTACAATTCGATGTCCAGCACTCGGTGGTTATCCTCTGGCAGTCCGCATACTTCGTGTAGCCGCTTTCGTTTGATAAAGTTCGGAACGACTCGATGTTTTAGACAGTGGCGTAGAAAGTGTATTGACTGTCGAGTTAAGACGATTATCTGTCTTAGTGACAGTGCTTCTTTTGCAAATCGGAAGTATCTTGCTGGTACATCTTGTAGTAACTCCCACGTCCGATTTTCTATTAACGCCGGCATTGATTGAACAATTATTTCCAATTCTTTTCGACCATGTATTACTCTGTGCGGCGGCTATCCACCAACTAACTTAAATACTTACAACAAATAAACGGCTCTGAAGAAGGCGAAACCGCCGAAACGTCAGCAATTGTGTTCTAATAAATTCTATATTAACAACCTCGTGTCTGCTTATTGAAGAAAAACACTGAACTTTCCAATTCTGTTCAGCAAACACGAAAAAAAATAAAAAAAATAAAAAAATATTAAAAAATATAAAAATTATATTAAAATGAAGAGGGCACTTTCAACTTGTTTTGCTAGATTTTGCAACCCTGTAGCAATCGATAATCACTTACACGACGTAAAGCTTGTTGTTCTCCTTCCCACTGCTCCACCAACAACTTCCTCTTATCAACTTTGTTCTTCGCTTCTCTAAAATTCATTTCTTGAGTTTCGTCTAAATTCTTCTAAGCTTAGCGCACAGTTATTCAGTGTATTAACTAA